ATAGCCCCGATATAATGCTCTCACTTTCTATAGGATCAGGACTTTCTATTATAGGAGTCAAGCAACAAGACTCAGTACTGTCATTTTCGGTTTATGATAAAAATATATATCCTTTTTAAAGGAGCACTTAAGCTGAAAAGCGTGAGGAAACATGTCTTTCACAAGATTAAGAAACGTAATAAATCAACACATTTCACAGTGCAAATTAAGTAAGATTCCACTCTTTGCGGATAACAGATCCGACCGACCAGAGCCAAAAGTAATAAACAATATCATAAAAATACAATATCTTTATTTGCCCGACCACATCTTTGATGGATAAGAAAACTTAAAATCTACAACAACAACAAAATCTCACAAAGCACCGTATTAAAAATAAATAAATACCAATAAAATAAATGTATATTATATATATTGGGGGGCACGCAGACACCTCACAATGAGAAGCCTCCCAAGAAGTAAATGCATGTACATTGTGTGAAAATAGTAAACAGCCCGCGCATAAAACAGCATAAGCATTCTATTCCCACTAAACCGACCAACCAAATCCACTTCCTACCATGTCAATTAACAAAAATATTGATCTACTCAAGCTAATTGGATCACAAAACCCTGTAAACCAGAAAACAAAACATTATGAGGCCTAATCATGGAGTCCGTAGGAAAACCTGATTTCATTTTCATAGGTATTTATATTACTATGTAATTGTGGTATTTCCAGATACGGGTGTGATTTTAGGGATTCCGGAAGTAATGTTTCTATACGCCCTTTCCGTTTCTCTGAACACAATGAGTGCGATGTCAACATTATTGGCTAATAATGGTAACAAATCAGACTAAATTCTGAGTGTCTAAAGTATCCAGCTTCCCATTGGGAACATTATTAGCCCCAGTGCTTCCACGTTTTAGAATATTGAAATCAAGAGTGAGTGAGTGAGTGAGTATGGTTTTACGCCGCTTTTAGCAATATTCCAGCAATATCACGGCGGGGGACACCACAAATGGGCTTCACACATTGTACCCATGTCGGGAATCGAACCCGGGTATTCGGCGTGACGAGCGAACGCTTTAACCACTAGGCTACCCGACCGCCCCTTGAATTTAAGAAGTGACTTCAATACTTTTGAAATACTTTTGCGTTTACGCGTTTTTAGTGCATGCGGTGTAAATCCGCCATTGTGCACGACGTTTTTACCTCGTTTATACCACCATAAACACAAAACGTATTGAAGTAAGTCCTTAAAATATATGGGGGGCACAGGTGGCTGAGTCGTCTAAGGCGCCGCGATTCGCTGTGCAGAGTTGCGTCCCTTGGGCACGCCAGAAACCTATGATTGTGGGTTCGTATCCCGGTTCGCCCCGATTATGTTTCTAGATTTGTCAGCACCATACCCGTGTTCGTGGGTTTCATCGATGTGGTAAACGTCTGAGACTCGCATCACTTCGGGCTTTCCTCCCACACTAAGACACAAACAACTGAAGACAACAGTATGATATCGGTGACATCATTCAGCCTACCAACGCAACACAGGCCCCGCCCAGACTATTATCAGCCAATCAAGAAACAGTAGTCTGTTAGTGGGCGTGGCTTTTTTCGGTTAATGGAAAAATAAATAAAAGCGACAAAACCGTTTCCATAGCCACAAGAAGTAACTGCTAAAAGCAGAGCCGATTGTACGATTTCGAATATCAGGAGCATGTGTTTATGAATCAATATCAAATAGTGATGATACCAGGTGTTCGCGAAAAGATCATTGTATCCTGTCCTGCCGGCGGCACCTGTCACAAACGCAGAAACATTGCTTAACTGGCCAGTCAAATGCCACGGAACCACCTGCAATTTATGCCTGATGCTTAAAATGAGTGTTTGTGAACTGCTTACCAACCCCTGTGATACAGCTCCTTGTGGTATCACTATTACACTTGAGACTTTACACAAAATTATATGACAAAATAATGGTCAACATAGCATTTGATGATGTGAGTAGTATACTTCGAAGGCGACTTAAGGGATCGGGTGGTCAGGCTCGCTGACTTGCTTGATGTATGTCATTGTATCCTAGTTGCGAGGATCGATGCTCATGATATCAATCACTGGATTGTCTGGTCCAGACTCGATTATTTACAGGCCGCCGTCACATAGCTGGAATATTGCTGATAACGGCGTTAAACAACAAACAAACCAACCTCATGATCTGGGCGAATTTGTGTCGGTACAGCCCGATAAGAAATACATATACTCATGCTATCAACCACTGGGTTTTGTAGTCCAGACTGATTATGTATACTCTGACGTGATAATATTGCGTCTTAAAACAACATCCACTAGCACATCCACAGACTCCCACATCCAACAGCAATGAGTGAGCACACACTGAAAACCCCCAAATCGTACCCTAACTGTGTGAGTGAGTGAGTGAGTGAGTGAGTGAGTTTGGTTTTACGCCGCTTTTAGCAATATTCCAGCAATATCACGGCGGGGGACACCAGAAATGGGCTTCACACATTGTACCCATGTCGGGAATCGAACCCGGGTCTTCGGCGTGACGAGCTAACGCTTTAACCATTAGGCTACCCGACCGCCCCGTACCCTAACTGTGATACAGCCAGAATATTGGTAACTGCGGCGTAAATCGACATGCATTCCCTTCTCTACATGCGACTGTCTGAGTTTAGAAAGTCAAGCCTTAGAGCGAAAATACCCTCGCTGATAACAGCAGATTTAGTTTCCAAGTATAGATGTTCAACCTCTTAGGCACCAGGATTTCGTCAGATTCCGTGCCAACAGATTGATTCCTTTGTTGTGAGGATAAATCCACGAAGGTTGATATAACAGATTAAAAGTTTTAAAAATGCAAGAACATACCTTTATATCACGAGAAAAACATGATAATATAATCTTGTGCTGACATTGTTATTAATGAAATACGTTAATGATACCGTGAAATGATACTCAACATTGATACACTTACTTCGTAACCATGCTTGCCGTAAAAGGCGACTATGCTTGTCGTAAGAGGCGACTAAAGGCATCGGGTGGTCAGGCTCGCTGACTTGGTTGATGCATGTCATCGATCTTAATTGCGTGGATCGATGCTCGTGATATCAGTCACTGGATTGTCTGGTCCAGACTCCATTATTTACAGACCTCCGTCATATAGCTGAAATATTGCTGAGTGCGGCGTTAAACAACAAACCAATCAACCAAATCTTACGACCAGCGTCGTTGGGCCTCAATTCTAACCCAGAATCCACACAAGGCGATATATGTTTGTTTGGTTTGTAACGCCGCACTGAGCAATATTCCAGCTATATGACGGAGGTCTGTAAATAATCGGGTCTGGACCAGATGTAAGATGAGTGATTGCTCTCGTGGGGATTCCTGGTTAGAATATTTCCCCATGGAACCCCGACGGCGTGGATTGTTGCTTACAACATTAATCACTGGATTGTCTGGTCCAGACTCGATTATTTACAGGCCGCTGTCATAAACTTGAGTACGGCGTTACACAACAAACAAACAAACATAAGTGATTAAGTAAATGTGTAGATACTATAATCGTTAGAAATTGGAATATATTTTTGCATGTATAGTGAGTTTACTCTGTCAATATTGATCGGGCTATTTTATGATTTAATGTGATATAACATTGATGCATATACGGTCCATAGGAGCAATTCTTTGTCATATCAAACTGTCTCGAAACACAACTTCAACATTTCAATGCAACGTCAAACTAAATCACTCACTCACTCGTGTATTTGCACATTAACTTAGTCCAGAGGCCGACAATACTGCGACACTATATATAGTTCCTGTCGAGGCTGAACCGCCAATATGCCCGACGTACTGGGGAAGGAAGTGTGGCGGTACAGTCATATTTCAATGCTAATACATTTCCTCTTCACGTGGAATATGAGTGACATACGACTGCTGGCGATGTGGTCAATATATCAGAAGTACCAGCTTGGTCAGCATCAATCTACCAGGCGATATACGCCTGTTGCACGTTTCGCGTACCACAGTCGCATCAGCTGTACAGGAGAATAAAGTGCGGAGAGAAACCTCAAGTCACTGCCAAATTGCATCCCAAATTCCACATCTAAAACCCCACTCCATTTCCCCTACACTACCATGTTTTAATATTTCGGAAATACCATTATCAAAAAATATAATTGAGTAAGAAGTTTAAATAGTATCGCCCATACATCAGGGTTGCCTAAACAAACACGTATTGCACAAAACACCCCACCTGAGGAATTTATGTATATATATATATTGAGGCTATACAGATTTCAAGGAATTGTAAAATAATTTGTCTGAAACTTTGCAATACGGCCCAGCTGCACGCTTGGCCTGTCAACAACAGATACACAATTGTAAACAACCCGGCCGTGTCGAGTTTATTGCAACACATTGATCAACAGGTATTTTCATATCCGTGTGTAAATATTTTATACATCCATGTTAAAGACCGCAGTTTTATACCACATTAATTTTCCAGCGACATTTCGCTACATGTGTGTGTAAGTGCCTTGTGCAAACCCACCCTTTCCTATAGCACACAAAATTGTCATGACCAGCGGAAATTCTAATCTGCACGGCCCTGGAAATTGATGAGGTCACGTGACCCTGTGTTTCCTGCCCTCACTTCAACCCGTGAGAGTTGTGTGTGCACGCGGTGAGATTGGGGATAACAACAAAGGTGAATCGCCCTGCGAAACGACACATGCATCGATATCCAAAACTAAAAGTGCAGTGAAAAACTTACAAATCCTAAAAACAAGCCATACGTACATAAAATGGAGATTCAAGCACGATTTGAACAGAATGCGTTACAGCGAGGGTTTGACAATTCGGATAAAACGCGGTCTCCTGTGGCGCTGTAAGACGCACGAGAGATCCACGGATCATAGCTTATCCGTAAACGTGGTGAGGCTGGGACGCATTCCTGAGCAAGAATGTTGTGGGAAATATAGAAGAAGGGAGCATTACTTACCGTCACTGTTTCGTCAGCTGCCTTCAGTCGAATGAGCTGTGGGTTCGCCTGCTAGATTTTATATCCGGGAAAAGCCTATTGAAAAGCGGGAAAGGAGGACCCGTCGACCTCTTGAACGCGACCGTTATTTCCGGACTCGACTGATAGCCGAACGGAACACGCTCATGTCTCGGCCTGTGGTATGCTTATCTAAAGCTCACAGGGACCCTAGTGTAGGCTTTTCGGAATTGCTCGGGATATTCCGTGAGATTTCCAAACGACTGAGGTTGTCCAACTGGAGACGAAATCAATAACGCCGCTTTTGACAACAGGTGACAATCGATTGATATACCTTAGAGGATAGCCTCTCGTTGGCGATCAACATTTCGCCCGAGTTATATGTACCTTGAAACGATAATAAAACTGTCAAACAAACTCCCATTGGAAGTAGTAAAGTAAACAAATGTTAACATTGAAATTTATCAAGCATTACACAAAAATATGTGTGCTTTAAATCAATTTCCGACTTTCTTCATGTCAGTCACGAAATACCAACGTAGTTTGAGGAAGGAAAACTCATTTAACGTAATAAGGAAAAGTGATCACTCTAAGTGTAAATTTGTCATTTGTACTTCTGGAGTCATGTAGTGATATTTTGTTATAATAATATATTTCATGATGTTTATAAGATAATATATGGGGTTTTTTTTACTAGAAGTATTTTGTTTTTGCTCCCACCTGTCTCTGATTCCTAAAAAGGACAACTAATTTTACAACTTGATTTAATTAGCTCCCTAAATGTGCAATATTGACAAGGAAGAAAAATATCCAAACACTATTACGTTCAATTAGAATACCGGGAACTCTATCGCTTGAGCAAACACTATTCTCTTCCTTTTAGCTAAGGTGTTCAAGTTTATTATTTATAACCTATTGTTTATGATTCGATTATGACCTTTAGTTTGTCGGTGCCATACACGTGGTTGTTGGTGTTAATTTTTGCAAGGGAGTTAACTGACCATAAAAGTGCAGTGGAAACTGGACTTTAACAGTCGATTAACTCCCTTGCCCCCAGAGCCTGCGTTCCGTTTCCTTGTTTGGGCCTTCCTCCCATATTAAGCTGACACGCCGTTATGTAACTGAAATTCTGTTTAGAGCGGCGTTAACCCCAACTGACTCACTCATTTACCCGGGGTTGGGCCCCTCTAATGACCCCCCGAGGATATATGAGGACCCTGTATATAGGCCTCGACTATGTAATGATAACCGACTGACATAAGGATTGGAGTGAGAGAGTATGGTTTTACGCCGCATTTAGCAATATTCCAGGAATATCACGGCGGGGTACACCAGAGTGAATGAGTTGGGTTTAACGCTGCTTTTAACATTATTCCAGTTATATCACGGCGTGTCAGCTTAATGTGGGAGGAAAGCCCGAAGTGATGCAGGTCTCAGACGTTTACCACTTCGGTGAAAGCCACGAGCACGGGTATGGTGCTGACAAACCTAGAAACATAATCGGGGCGAACCGGGATTCGAACCCAAAATCATAGGTTTTTGGCGTGCCCAAGGGACGCAACTCTGCACAGCGAATCGCGGCGCCTTAGACGACTGGGCCACCCGTGCCCCCGGGTACACCAGAAATGGGCTATCGAACTCGGACCTTCGGCGTGACGAGCGAACGCTGTAACCACTAGGCTACCCCACCACCCCCATTGGGATTGGATGGCCAGTGTGTGAACTAGTTGATTATCTCAACGTAAGAGGGTCATTGCTCATGCTGTCACCCACTAGTTTGTGTAGCCTAGATTCTGCCAGTTCTTAATGAAAAGCGCTGCATCAGTGATAAGGCAGCCAATTACGCTACCAATTCTCGGCCCGTCCTTGGTGTTCTGGGCCCTAAATTATCCGTGAGTTTGAGTCTTGGAGTCCCGGCACCAAACCCATGCCCGACTTATCCATGTGCAGATCCGTCCCATGGATACCAGAAACTTATTATTGTGGGTTCGAATCCCGGTTCGCCCAATTATGTTTCTAGGTTTGTCAGCACCATACCCATGTTCATGGGTTTCACCAAAGTGGTAAACGTTTGAGACCTGCATCACTTCGGGCTTTCCTCCCACACTAAGCTGTCACGCTGGGATATAACAGGAATAGTGTTCAAAACTCCCTCTCACATAGGGTTTTCACACACTGCCTGTTCAAATGCGGTTTCAAAATAATAAAGTGTCGACTGTTGACATAACGATTATGCTTAATAAACAATAATTACACTACCATATGGTATTATAATAATGGCTAACATATAGCCGACTTACATTAGAAGCCAGATTTCACTCAAGACATATTATTTTGCCGGTCAACGGATAGAGTGAACGCATGCTGACTTCTCAACTCCCGCCGGAGTACACAGCCATGCTCGTTGATGACACAAGCATACCTCATTATTGTCACTTGAATACCACATGTTTGTTCTGAGAATCTAACTTCACGTGAATCTAAACGAGCACGTGCTGCGCAACTATTTCACGTGGTCTATTAGCATTTTGTCAGTGAAGAAGTCTGGGTTGAGTCTTCCACTGAAATACGTGATCTAAATTACCTATCAAAACCCTTTGAGACCATAGACTAAAGTCAGGCTCCATTTAGAATTATTTTTTCCAAAATCATAAAATCATTTTTATGATCCATGATTTTATGATCCACGTATCATTTCGTAAATTTAAAGGAATAAAGAAAAAAAGTAATGACATAAAGTCTAGGGAAGCGCGGGAAATCTTTGTTCTGGGAATTGCAGTACCTCCTGCTCACCAATAAGGAAGTGAAGTAAATGATTCGTGCGAATTGACAGAGAGATCAATTTCTCAGAACATACAGGTAACGTACAGCCTATTTACAACGAGGAAGCGATTGCGTGAATGTTATTTGACGCCGCAAGACCAGTTTCTCGGTGCGGATCCAGTAGAAACTCATTGACACAACAAGACCTACTATTCTCTACCGTAATCCCTCACCCACACCTGTGTCACTCAACGACCTGTAAGGAATCGATGCTTGGGAAACGATCCACGCCGTCGGGTTATGACGTCATAACCAGCCAGGGTCCGATCCACAAAGCGTTCGTAGCACTACGATGTTCGTAATTCTATGAAGAACTATATATAGTTACAAGTCTCTTAACGCCACGAACGCTTTGTGAATTGGGACTCGGGTCTAATATTGTAAGCGCGTGACCCGGATTTTCGTTGGCTTTAAAGAGGTGGTGAGTTGAAATGGGATTTAACGTCGCGTTCAAGATTATATAATTTATATAGCGACGTGCATGCACGTGTGTGTGTGGCTGCTTGTACTAGTCCGGACTAATGCCGATTTTCTGTTGCTAGTCCACTGAGATAACATGCCGCAGTATAACATGAATACCAAACTCAGACACAGCACACTGACTCAAAGCTGACCAGTCCTTGTTTTATCACCTTAATGCCGAGCGTCAGGCAGGGTAACAACAAGTACCGTCTCTTAACGTCTTTTGGTTTGACGCGGCCGGGGATCGAACCCCGGACCTTCCGAACTCCAGGCAGACGCTCTACCACTAGAACACGGAGGCTGTCATTTAAAGAGATAATTAAGACAATCTTCATGTGAACATTTATCCGTTCCAGGAGGCACTTAAAATGCGCTCGACATTGAGGGGATTAAACTAGGAATGGTCGTCTGAGTGGTGTATCTATGTTAAACTGCGGCATGGTATCTCAGTGGGCTAGCACTATAATAGACGAACACTTAGTCAATAAAATCATGTCTTTAAAATATATTTTTTTATTTTTCTTCGAAAGATCCTTTCCTTGTTTGATAGGCATAAATTAGAAGTTGACGGATGACAAGATGGACACAATTTTATGGATTACAACTTCTTTAATGCTGTAAAAAGCGACGTTTCGGTATAGATCCTTATAGGATCCTTATAGCTTGACAACGGTATAAGGATCTATACCGAAACGTCGCTTTTTACAGCATTAAAGAAGTTGTTATCCATAAAATTGTGTCCACCTTGAGATTCTTTCCTCTTCTGATGTTTTGTGGAATCAAGCAAACTAGACTTGGTTAGTTTGATCTAGACTTGTCTAGGCTTTTAAGTAAAGAAAATACCTTAAAAATATAAATTCCACAGTCATGGTGCAGGACCAGCACTATAAAATCAACATTAGTTCGGACTAGTACACGCACGCACGCACGCACGCACGCACGCACGCACGTCGATCTATAAGTGCAATAATCATGACTTCACCAAATTTATATGAGTAAAAGCTCAACTTCCATGTCAGGCGTTGCTTTAAAACACTGTGCACACATTATGGCCATACATTTCACCGAGACGCTAAACTCTGGGTTATAGAAACAAGGTCAGTTAGTTGTGACCAGTGTTTGCGTTATGGAGAGGCGAGCTTAATGTGAGAGGAAAACAAGAAGCGACGCCGGTAATCGAGATCCGAAGTCCTGATTTAAATATTATATAATAATAAATTAATAATAATTGTATGTTCTGTTATATGAAACATAGGAGCACGGGCATGTTGCTTAATGCTTATAAACCCATAATCATAAGGAAAGCCATTGTAGGATTCGAACCCAGCGGAACATGGCATGGGCAAGGGACACAACTCTGAGCAGCGGCGCTACATACCACTAGGTAACCCGTGTCACCCCAATACGTGTTTGTGTTTATGAACAAGATTAGGTCCCTTCATATGTGCCGCAAAGGGTACAATATTTAGTCATCAATCTTCAGGAAACCCCATTCAGTAGTGTCCTCTCCTACACCTTTCTCTGCAGCCGCCCCCCTCCCCCAACCAACACACACTTTTATCGCCTAATTATTTGCCAAAAGATATAACAATCATTACAAAAGGGAGGTATCTCCCAATTTGTTATCTTCCGTGAAATTTGAAAAAAGTCATTGGAATGTTGATTTCTAAGCCGCCATATAATTCAAATTGTCTAGTCCTGAAGATTAAGTAACGTTACGTCGTCACGGATTCTTGGACGCGGCCAAATATGTACGAGCATCGAGGAAACATCGTGGACTAGACGTTAGCGGTATAGTTATGGACTGGCCTGGGAGTCCTGATAACAGCCGTGACAAAGGCAAGGGCTTACTGAATCCATATCACTGTATAATGAGGCTGCCAACCCCATTTTTGGACGTGGGGGACGTTTTTTTGGTCCCCCCCCCCCCCCCCACACACACACACACTAAAACAGGACACATAAAACGCGAGTAGAGTTCACACTTTAGTTGATCACATTTCATTTTCCTGGTGTGTTTTAGCAGCTGTTTGATTGTAAGAGGGGCGGTCGGGTAGCCTAGTGGTTAAAGCGTTCGCTTGTCACGCCGAAGACCCGGGTTCGATTCCCGACATGGGTACAATGGGTGTAAAGCCCATTTGTGGTGTCCCCCGCCGTGATATTGCTGGAATATTGCTAAAAGGGGCGTAAAACCTCATTCACTTGATTGTAAGACACTCCATAACATTCCATTATACTATCAGAATTCCTATTGTCCTATATATTGATGTTTCCCTGCCAAATATATAGGAAAACTCAAATCCATGTCACGTTCAACAGATACGAGACCTACCATTAAGTCGACTCCTCCAAATATACTACATATAAGCAAATAGGACTACAAGTACCACAACAGGCTTAATCAAATTTAATATATATTTGCTGTGGTTAGAAGTAAGGAGGTGTCATGGAACACATCCTCGTAGGCAATACATTTATCTTTTTGGTCAGGGAATTTTGGCCAGTGGGTTGAGAAAATTTAATTTACAAAATTCCAATTTCACATATACTGTTTTTATTCCGAAAAAAAAAAACACGTAATATCAAGTATGGTATTTTAGATAGTTTATTTAATTGATGGCTCTGAGTTTGGTTTTGTTAACGTTTTGCTTATTTCTGGTCGGCGGAATAAAAAACACACACTTTTTTTACATTTCAACGGATTCGTAAACCAAGTTTTTAAGAAGTCTGGCCTTAGAGTGGTAAATTTAAAGTGTGTGTGTGTGTGTGGGGGGGGGGGGGGGGGGGGGGGGGGGGGTATTCGCTCCGGATGCACCGCGTGGTAATTGACACAGAGTAGTGGGTTTTTAAAAGTTTAACTTTGGTATCGTTTAAGCAATTCTGTTGTGGGCTTTTCCAACCGGACATTTCATAACTGAAAATATGGAGACGAGCGAAATCAAATCGATTTATTGCGCATATAATATCTGCTTTACTTGCGTAACACCTTTGGGGAATATTTAAAATACTTATAGCGTATAATATGCCCGCGAGTAGACAGTGACAAATGGGTAGAACCGGTACTGACAGTGTGTAGTTATAACAACCCATGCTTACCTACACAGCCTTTTCCATTCACAAGAAACCCCGGACCGCACGAACAGAAAAACGACCCGATCGTGTTGTGGCAGTCATGGGCACATCCGCCATTCTTGAGAATACACTCATTCAAATCTGAAACAGACATTGACATATATTCAGTGAAACATTGCTTATCCGGACGATCCACCAACCGGAACATTACCGTCCGGATTAAAGAGGTTAAACTGTATGTTTGAGGTAATGGCGGCCATACTGTTTATGCATGGGAATGTGTGTCCGGTCCAGAAAAGGGATTAAATTAAATGACCCTGCGTGGGTTTTGTTAATGAGGGTGGCAGGTGTACATGTAAACGGTCATGTTTCAATCCTCAGATCTAGAGTAAGACATGCATTTGTACGCGACTTGGAACAGAAACAGGAAGCACGAGATAGATATCGTGTCGAGAGGTCAGAGTGCGTGCAGATCCGTGTCCAGCAGACACGGAGCTTAGTACATCCGGGTATGTTACACCTGCACAAGTTGTTAAACGGTCCGTGATTTTAAAATTTATGTAATGAGAAAATTACTTTCGAGTTACGAGAACTGTATGTCCCGATTGAAGTTCCGAAAATTGGCGAGTGACTTTCAACATACAGGCAGATGTATATTTTATTTCCAAGCTTGGCTAACCAAACAGACTGCCTCGATACCCGTGCCCTTTAAGTAATACTAGTACCAATTAATGAGTATATAGAAGATATTTCATTTGTTGCGTGACATATCATGTTCCTCTCACAGAGTGACGGGGGGGGGGGGGGGGGGTGAGAGTGATAGTGATATTAACTCCATTAATGGCCATCTATTATTTTGCCTTCTCAATGTGGAATTAACGTAAAAACGACGTCAACGGTTCTCAACTCCAAGACACTTAGTCTTTCACACTGAGTGAGTGAGTGAGTTAATATTTAACGTCACATCGGCAATATTTCAGCCATATCTTGACGGGAACAAGTTGATTATAATACAATTCCTGTCGACAAAGGACAGTAAAACAGTAAGGTAAATATCACAGTTTAGATCTTTCACACTGAATTATACAATAAAAGTATATGCATTTCATGATAAAATGCTATATTTATCTGAAATTATGAAATCGCTATTTCACGCAAGTATCATTATGTCGGTACTACTTAATGTTTGCTTCACTTTGTTTTATGGTTGTTTAACGCCGCACTCAGCAATATTCCAGCTATATGAGTAAATACATAAATAAGAAAGTACGAGATAAATATAAAATTTAACTTTTCTTGTCAAAGGATTATTATCTCTTGTCCTGACCTGAGATCTCGTGATTTGACCTGACCGGACATCCAGTGACCTGACAAAGTTGGCATATTCACTCCTGTGCCACTCATGAAACTAGGCACCTCATGAGATCCCTCCATGAGTGTAATAAATCATTTGACGAGAAAAGTAAAGTATAAAATATTATATAAATATTTTATTTTCATCGATTTAAGAAAAATGTTGTCTGGTTGTTGTTCACGACAATCGTTCCATCGTTTTCATTGTTTGAGAAGCGGCCGAAAACCACGTGACATCATATCGAAGCATTGTCGCAAACTGATGAAGAATTGACTTTTCACGTCACGTGATCGACCTCTCGTCCAACGGAGAAGCCGTATATCGGGTAAACTTGAAATAAATTATTTTTTTGAAGATAACGTCATCATTTGTGGGCAATCCCGAGCTTTTCATGAATTACTAACAGCATTCATTCACGACGGACAAATTATCCGTAATTCCGAGTTTCAAGTAGGTTATTATTTGTATTACTTGTTGACATTTTGAGAGAGTAAATAATGAAAAAAACGTATGAAATATCAACCCTAGAGCGCAACTTCACTGACGGCAACCTAGTGTTCAGATGACGCAATGAACGACGTAATACAATTGACGAATCAGCATTGAGAATCGCTAAAATGCATGCACATGGGCACATATCGGAAAGTTATTACACACGCTTACTGGTAATCACAGGACCATGTGTCTAATATTCTACACAAATGCACCAGTAGAACATATATATGTATATTACCCGTGATGATCCGGATTAGAATAAATTTTCAACAAACCTACTTTTGCCGTATAAGGCGACTACATTCGTCGTAAGAGGCGACGAACGGGATCGGGTGGTCAGGGCCGCTGACTTTGTTGATGCATGCAATCGTATCCCAATTGCCTATATTGCTCGCAAATTGATGAGGTCGGAAATTGGACGAAGTTATGTTTGAGAGGGAATTGTCTAGTGAGTTCGGCAGTGGCCGAACTATCGCGTCCAGAAGTGGGACATCTATAACAATCGGTTTGGGAGAAAAGGTACATGTAATCGACGTGAAAAGTTTTGACAATATTCGGAAAAGGCCAAACTTAACCCCTCTGTTCATAAAATGGACTTGTCCGACATTGCCGAGGTGGAATCGCATTCAGGCAGTCATCATTATTTAACTACAGATAAATATTTCCCAAGCTTGCACATCCTATTGACATCCTTAAGAGGCTGCATATTATATATAAGCCACAGGTGTTACACTGGAATAAATAGGTATGGGCCACCTCCTACAGCATCCGGGTACCCTTGGTCTGCGAGTGATCTATGTTTACTGATGACCTAGGGTCCACTCATGAGGTAACATGTTTGGCACGAATTAGGTTCCATAGCTTACCAACCAGACCTGTCAAACTATCGTTAACATGCAGATTTGAATCCTGCTGAGCACAGCATGTGATAAAGTCCAATGAATTACCAAACATACTTTATAAGACGATATAGAGCTCTACTTTTACATATCCATATAAGTTTTCTGAAATGCTGAAGCAACTTGATGAGAATGGTTGTGATTGAGTGGGCTGGATGTAACGCCGCTTTTAACAGTGTTCCAGTTATATCATGGCGTATCAGCTTGATGTGGAAGGAAAGCCCGAAGTGATGCAGGTCTCAGACGTTTACCACGTTGGTGAAACCCACGAGCACGGGTATGGTGCTGACAAACCTAGAAACATCACCGGGGAGAACCGTGATTCGAACCCGCAATCATAGATTTCCGGCGTGCCCAAGGGACGCAACTCTGCACAGAATATTGTGGCGCCCCCTCCCCCCTTCTATAGGCAGTCTTCGTGTCCATACAGTTGCCCTCGACTCACATCAACCCATCAATGGGAGGAATCCAGATTGAAACTTGCAATATATTTGCTAGTTTCACTATTTCACGTGACTGACATATTACTCATCACAATCTAGCAGAAGTAATACCTATCCACAAACATATATGTCTGTCTGTGCCCGTATGTCTCTGTCTGTGTGTGTATCTGTCTTTCTGTGTGTGTCTGTTTCCATGTGTATTTGTCTCTGTGTGTGTCTGTCTGTCGCTGTGTGTGTCTGTCTCTGTCTGCGTGTATGTATGTGTGTATCTGTCTCTCTATGAGTGTGTGTGTGTGTATGTATGCCTCTTTGTGTGTATCTGTCTGTCTGCCTGTGCCCGTGTGTGTGTGTCTGTATCTGTCTGTGTGTGTATGTATGTGTCTGTCTGTGTCTGTGTATATGTGTGTTGCTCAGTTTATATAATTTTATGTAACATTTGTATTTATCATAAAAGTGCGTTTCTCAAACTCGGTTGTCGCCTTGTAAGAGCTTTGTGTGGCGTGATCTGAGAACTGCCGTGATGTCATGCAATATCACTACCCGATTGCTTGTTGTCGTAATTAACGGAATATGCCGAATGTACCCGAATGATGGCTGCTGTTTCGTCATGCTTTCAGCTGCTTTAGCGATCTACTCACCAAAACAGGACCGGAAATCAGATCCGAGGGTATACCCATCTCTGCACGTGCAGGAGTATCGACCAACCCGAGACACGCACATGTGCGCGCATCCTCCATTGCCGTTTTGGCACGGATCATCCTCTGTTGGGAGATATTTAAAATTATTTTCTACACAATTCAAAGATGTCAGTATATAAGTAGATCGAAATGGCAAAAACATAATTATAAAGTTAAACTGTTGTAACAAATTTAAAGGTTTCTTGTCATGGAAACAGATGGCGTCCCTACATTTATAAGGCACCAAACTATTGAACTTATGAACTATACTAGACACAGAGCAAGAATAAATTGAATTTATGTCATCAGTCATCAGTAATACTTGACACGACATGTTATGTACAGAATATCCGGTGTATCATATCCCAGTTCCAATATAACTACCCTTGACCCGACCCGTGAAGATCCGGGTTAGAATTGGTCTTCAGCAACCCATGCTTGCCATAAAAGGCAACTACGTTTGTCGTAAATGGCGACTAACAGGATCGGGTGGTAAGGCTCGCTGACGATCCAGCGATAACATAATTGATAAAACTTAAGACCATGAAAGTATTTTTCATGGCCAGGGCGTGGTCCGCGGCGGGGTGATGTCGTACCCCAAGTGTCTATATACTCCATCAACCGACCCGTGAAGATCCGGGTAGATGTTCTGCAACCCATACTTGCCGTAAAAGGCGACTATGCTTGTCGTAAGAGGCGACCAACGGGATCGGGTGTTTAGGCTCGCTGACTTGGTTGATGCATGTCATCGATCCCAATTGCGTTGATCGATGCTCATGATATCAATCATTGGATTGTCTGGTCCAGACTCGTTTATTTACAGACCGCCGTCATATAGCTGGAATATTGCTGAGTGCGGCGTTGAACAAGAAACAAACATGCAAACCTATTCGCCACCAAAGCTTTGTCTCGGAAATCTCCCTTGTCACCGACGTAGCATTGGACTATGGACTGTGCAGTAAATGCTATACTTATATAGTTCACAGTATATGATATACTTATATAGTTCACTGTGCAGTATATGCTATGCTTGTGTAGTTCACTTAGCAGCATATGCTTTGCTTACATAGCTCACTGTGCAGTAAATGCTATACTTATATATAGTTCACTGTGCAGTATATGATATACTTATATAGTTCACTGTGCAGTATATGATATGCTTGTGTAGTTCACTTAGCAGCATATGCTTTGCTTACATAGCTCACTGTGCAGTAAATGCTATACTTATATATAGTTCACTGTGCAGTATATGATATACTTATATAGTTCACTGTGCAGTATATGTTATACTTATATAGATTACTGTGCAGTATATGATATACTTATATAGTTTACTGTGCAGTATATGATATACTTATATAGTTTACTGTGCAGTATATGACACACTTATATAGTCCACAGTGCGGTATATGATATACTTATATAATTCTCTGTGCAGTATATGTTATACTTATATAGTTCACTGTGCATTATATGATATACTTATATAGTTCACTGTGCAGTATATGCTATACGTATATAGTTCACTGTGCAGTATATGATATACTTATATAGTTCACTGTGCAGTATATGATATGCTTGTGTAGTTCACTTAGCAGCATATGCTTTGCTTACATAGCTCACTGTGCAGTAAATGCTATACTTATATATAGTTCACTGTGCAGTATATGCTATACTTATATAGTTCACTGTGCAGTATATGATATGCTTATGTAGTTCACTGTGCAGTAAATGCTATACTTATATAGTTCACTGTGCAGTATATGATATACTTATATAGTTCACTGTGCAGTATATGCTATGCTTATGTAGTTCACTGTGCAGTATATGTTATACTTATATAGTTTACTGTGCAGTATATGATATACTTATATAGTTCACTGTGCAGTATATGATATACTTATATAGTTCACTGTGCAGTATATGACATACTTATATAGTCCACAGTGCGGTATATGATATACTTATATAATTCACTGTGCAGTATATGACATACTTATATAGTCCGCAGTGCGGTATATGCTATACTTTTATAGTTCACTGTGAAGTATATGCTATACTTATATAGTTCACTGTGCAGTATATGATATGCTTATGTAGTTCACTGTGCAGTATATGTTATACTTATATAGTTTACTGTGCAGTATATGATATACTTATATAGTTCACTGTGCAGTATATGTTATACTTATATAGTTCACTGTGCAGTATATGATATGTTTATGTAATTTCACTGTGCAGTACATGATATACTTATATAGTTCACTGTGCAGTATATGATATACATGTATAGTCCGCAGTGCGGTATATGATATACTTATATAGTTCACTGTGCAATCTGACTTACCCAGCACACACTTGGGCCTGATTCTTGCACCCCACTGTGAATTGTGACAGTAGAGGTTGGTGGAGCTAGGGTCGGACAGCTTGTACCCACCCACACAGCTGTACGTGGCGATCATGATGTAACGACCCCGGAACTTGCTGAAGACGTACGACGTAGTGAACACGGCCTTCTCCACCGTCGGGGGGTCGATCTGGTACTGGAAACATGACTCGTCCGCGTGGCGCAGGGCAGCGTTGGGTACTCCGGTAGGGGGCGCACTGGTGGGCCGCGATTTGGCGCTCACTGCAGAACGGAAATGGTATTAAAAACAATGCCCTTCAACATGTCTCCAAACCATTCAACATTCCCAAACCACACTGGGTAACTCAAATGCTGATGATTGGTAAAAGAAGATGATCCACGATAGAGATCCTACTTTATGATAGTAATAAGAATAAGAAATGTATACCACGCATTGATGGTTTAACTAACACGCATCTGAATTTGATTATTTTTACGTTTTCTTTTCACTCGTTGAGAAATTGTACAGTGAAACTGGCTCGTAAAATATTGCATTGGAAAATAACAAAGGCAACAATGTGTGTGCAGTTTTATTTGGGGCAGATCGGACCTCGGGGCGTGGGTGATCTTCCCCCTGGCGTTGTAGCATGGAGATGTGATTGGCCATTTGTGTTTTTGCAGCCTCGGCACACATAGGTAACCGGAATAGGACCTGTCCCCAACATACCCGCACAGAAGGGGAACCTGCCCCTCCAGCGTCCTTCTTCGCAGAAGAGTTTGGCAGACCCGAGGACGTAGTAGCCGGCCTCGCATGTAAATGTGGCGACACCGCCATTGTTGTCGATGTTCACCACGCCGTGACGAGGTGGGAGCAAATCTGGGCAACCGCTCGCTGGAATGCAAGGCAATTTGTCAGTTGACGTATTGTATCCATACAGACTATTACCAAAGACGTATATATACGACTTTGCTATTACCAATACTCTCAATGAAGAACCGGGGGCACGGGTGGCCCAGTCGTCTAAGGCGCCGCGATTCGCTGTGCAGAGTTGCGGCCTTTTGCACGCCAGAAACCTATGATTGTGGGTTCGAATCCCGGTTCACCCCGATTATGTTTCTAGGTTTGTCAGCACCTGACTCGTGCTCGCGGGTTTCACCGAAGTGGTAAACGTCTGAGACCTGCATCACTTCGGGCTTTCCTCCCACATTAAGCTGACACGCCGTGATATAACTGGAATACTGTTAAAAGCGGCGTTAAACCCAACTCACTCACTCACTCACTCAATAAAGAACCTGTAATTGAAATAACCCCTTCCCATACAGCGATCTTAAAGGGGAGCTCATCAGGCTGCCGTAATACAAAGTGATCTAAGCGCTGTGGTGATCCTAGCTCCCATACCTTAACATAGACTTACGACAGTCGTAGCGCTAGGGTTGTTTTGTACAACGGCTCCCTGATAATATAATGACAGCCATGTGAGAAAATGAGACATTATCCAAACCTTATAAACTTTAATTCAGCAGGCTTTTACAAAGTGGGTTTCCAAGGACAAAACTCGACTGTCATACGCATAATGCATGTTCTCTATTTCAGTGTTAAATTAGGCGAAACTCGTGATGCCACTTCTTCATGGTGAATAATCTTTAAATTGTCATACGCAGTTGATGATCCACTGATGCATGTGTTAAAGCTTACTAGGCACCAAAAGAAACTGTATATGATTTTATCATATGCACACTTTCTTACGGTGCCAACTATACATAACCCTATCGCCATGACTTTTCACGTGGTATGTCACGTGGTTTGTCGACCATCTTCTGCTGCCTACACAGCCTCTTTGTCATTACTAAGCGGCTTTCCCTTCTATCAGTGGATCATACGAAATTCGCCCGTGAAGGTGAGGTGAAATTGGGTTTAACGTCGCGTCCAAAATTATTGCACTTCTATAGCGACGTGTACTAGTCCGGACTAATGCCGAATATATTAGTGCTAGCCCACTGAGATACAATGCCGCTGTTCAACAAGAATATTCCATTTAGACACAGTATACTACCTCCGATCCGACAGTCATTGTTTTAGACCCCCAATGCCGAGCGCCAGACAGGGAAACAACAAGTACAATCCTTTTACGTCTTTTGGTATGACGCGGACGGGGATCCAACCCTGCACCTACCGTTCTCCGGACGGACGCTCTACTACACGACCACGGAGGCGATCTCGCCTATGAAACTATTTTACGAGCCAATACATGACGTTATCCTAAAATACCCTCAGAGAGAACTGTCTGTTTGGCTACGCTGTCAAAGAATTCTTTCTCGCAACAAATGTTAAATTTGGGATATCATTTTCTTAGTAAAGTACATTTCACCACTTTCTAAATGACATTGCGTAATCACAATATTTTCTCGTTCAACTATATGGTGACCTTGACCTTCACTCATGACAGGTAAGACAGGAAATGTTCTTCCGCTTGGCGACGCTTGGTTTCACACCAACTGCTATGCTAAAGCGAGACCCGGATCTAAGTCCTCCCTAAACGTAGACCCCCTCTATACGCAGAACTCCCCAAAACGCACTCCGGAAAGTGATTTCAATTACATTGTGCATGCTGGTCACACCTAATAAAGGAATGGATCAATCCAAAAACATTCTTTATTCTTATTTCCTTACCTAGATACGTCATGGAGGGGGACCTGGGTTCGTGCACCCTTCATGTCAGTTTAACATAGAGGCTACTTCACCGATGTTACCCGTGGAACCGGTGGACAACGAATGTATCTTGCCGCACACCTAAATTTCATTACATTGCAGGTATGTCTTATGAATTGCATGCGTTGATCCGAATCGGTAGGAATACCACAGTTTGGCATTTATCTACTTCCTTCATATTTCACTCATCGAAAAATAGCAGACGACAGAACACAAACTTAGAGTTATTCCCCCTTGATATATTTCATTCGGAAAATATCGTCCATATCCGGAGAATGGCGACTATCATAATTAATTCGAGATACAAAATTGCGGTTGGTATGTTGCAAATGTGATGCCTACAGTTCGGCAATATAAGTTCGGGGGGACATAAAAAATATATATTATGTTAGCAGGGTACATTGAACATAACAGAATGGGTCTCAGAATCCGATATGCGTATGCAAGGCAAGATAAGTATTTATGAGTATGTAGAGAATAAGACTGAGACAAGCTCACATGTTCCAAACGTAAGCGTCGTTCTGGGACGGGATCGGACAGAGTAGCCAAGTCGCCTCAGGCCCAGTAATTCACTGTGCAGAGTTGCATCCCTTAAGCGTATCAGAAACCTATGATCTTGTTTCGAATCCCGGTTCGCCCTGATTACGTTTCTAGGTTTGTTAGTACCGTGCTGTGCTCGTGGCTTTCACCAAAGTGGTAAACGCCTGAGGCCTTCATCACTTCGACCTTTCTCTCACATAAAACTGACAGCTGTGATATAACAGAAATACTATTCAAAGTGGCGTTAAACCAAAGTCACTCACACCCTTCAAAGGGAAAATAGGTTCGGAGTAATTGTCAGTCACGGTAAATTTAATACACACATTCAGACAACACTTTGTCGTCTTTTTTAAATGTCATATATATTTTTAATAGTTTAATGACTATAATATTTACTGAGATACAATTTCTCATTTAAACGTGTGGAATAACTTATAACTCCAGAACTAGAAAGAACATGGCATCATCATAGAGCATTATATCTATAGTCTTACTTTAAGAGCCCGATACTGACTTACCGACACAAACTGGTGGTAAAATCGTCCATTTTCCTGTTGTTGGGTCACACCCGCCGTGGGTGAGGCCGTAAGCGAAGAAGTTCTTGTCACAGATGTATTCCAGGAGCAGCCCGTCCCCCCACACCACGACTTGGCCGTTCCGGATCTGGCCTGGGGGTTCGCACTTCTTCCATCTCTTCTCTGTGGGCATGCGCAGTAGGATAAAAAATGGAACGAGTGTAGTTTAACGTTCATATGCATTCGTGTATGATAAGGGCGAGGATATGCTTCATAACTCAAGAAAGAACCTTTAACAGGTCTTTTGCTAGCTGGTGTTCAGTAATGTTACGAACCCGGGGCAATTGCAAATGTTCCGCCATCATTGATCAATTGGTCATTCACTAAAGGTGTCAAATAGATTCTGAGGTAAATGCAGTGATTGCTGTAGACTGTGACTGCGTGTCTAGTCCCGGGTCGATTCGATAGTTTGGATGTGCATGTCTTCGTTTTGTTCACTAGGATGGGTCGTTGCGAGGTTTTCTTAAATGGACATGCAGTCAGACTCTCTGACCTTTTCCCAATGTTCGAGATTCAGGGGTCCAAGTGATCAGAAACAACGCTTCTGTATGTCTTTGTGCAAAGGAATTCCCAGGGGTTTCCCCAGGAATGTGGAAGTTGTCCGTCAATATTTACGTCATTTCAAGAATATTACGTGTTATATATCATATGGTTGTTATTATATGTATTGGGTCTAACGCCACATTAAACCGTATTTCAGTTATATCACGGCGTGTCAGACTAATGTGGATGGAAACCCCGAAAGTGGGAAGTGAGTGAGTGGGTGGGTGGGAGGTTGGGTGCGTGAGTGAGTGAGTGAGGATTTGCGCCGCCTTTAGCAATGTCCCAGCAATATCACAGTGAGGAACACCAGAAACGGGCTTCACACATTACATTGTACCCAAGTGGGGGATAGAACCTCAAGGCTACCCCACTCCCCGACAGACCTGGAAACATTATCGGGACCAACCGAGATTCGAACCCACGATCATAGTATTATGGCGTTCCCTAGTATTTATAAACTATCAGGTATGCACTGAATGTCCCCAATATGTGGCAAATCTCTATTTAAAGACTAGATATCCGGATTAGGGTCGGGAGGAGTGGCTTGTTGACATACGTGACATACATAAACAAAAGAGTACATAAACGTTATTACAAAACACACACACCCCACACACCCCACCCCTTCCCCCACCCCCAACCCCATCCGGGCAACTGACTGGCCCGCAGGCCATGATAGCTGCTGCGAGAACGCATCGGAATCTAGCAGGACGAGGGTCCGCTTGTTGTCCCCCAATTGACAACACAACATGAGGTCCGGTCTCTCATGCTTCTACAAAACTCGTTTCATATATATGAGAAATCTCTTTGGGAGAGCCCACTGTACGATTCCGACTATATCATAAACACTATCAAATAGTGATGAAACAGGTTTTCGCGAAAAGATGAGGCAACCCTGCCCCTTCCCCTCTCGCCTGGCATGTTTTAGGTGACTAAGTATAAAACAAATTAATAATAATAAATAATAACCATCTTCATTATCATCATCGTCATCAATTCCGTGGTAGCATGGCACCAACTTTACCAGTTCATATATAAACACGAGTTACGTCCCATAGCCGTGCGAGGATCCGCTTATCGTGGGTCACTTGGGTCGTTCTTCACACAATAGGCTTGATTTAACTGAAATACTGTCAAAAGTTAACTTATAGCTAGGTTTAATAGACCAGACTACTCATTGGAAAAAAGTGTCTCGGGTTTATAGTGCTAACCCACTGAGATAACATGCCGAAGTTTTTTAAGATGGATACTCCACCCATACACACGATACTTCAAGCCGGCCAGTCCTTGTTTATCCCCATAATGCCTAGCTCAGGCAGGGTAACAACAAGTACCATCTTTTAAACGTCTTTTGGTATGACGCGGATAGTCAGAAAGAGTGAGATGTTCTTATTGTCATGCGATATTATACAAATAATTACTTTTGACGGGGTCAATATGCGAAAACATGGAACCGAGGCTCCGACACCTAATGTGGTCCGACCGGACCGATAACATTGTTAATAGGTTTTAATACCCTTCTCAAGGAAACTGAATATCAGGATGAAAACGATTGCAGCAGACCCCTCGCGTATGGGTGCGCGTATGATCGATTCGACGTATTGCATGCCGTCTCAAATAAAGGGGCCGCCGGGTAGCCTAGTGGTTAAAGCGTTCGCTCCTCACGCCGAAGACCCGATTTCTATTCCCCACATGGGTACACTGGTCTCCCCTACCGTGATATTGCTGGAATATTGCTAAAAGCGGCATAAAACCGTACTCACTCACTCAAATATAACTGTGTATGATATATTGCCGCATAATGGCCCTAAAGTTGTGTTTCTGTGTGTGTACAGTATTTCAGTTATATCACGGCGTGTCAGCTTAATATGGGAGTGATGCAGGTCGTTGATGTGTACCACTTTGACGGCCTGTAAAATCAATCATACAAGTCAAGGTCAGACAATCCAGTGGTTGATAGCATGAACAACAACAATCCCCACCGGGAAGGTTATTGTAACAATCATACCCTCACTACTGTTTACAACAAGCATACGATACTTAGGTTCCGTACTGACCAGGATTACCCACGGAACGAATCTGGGTAGCGAATCCTCGATCAGGGGATCCTTGTACGACCAAGGGAAGCAACCATGCATTGATATTTTTTTTGTTAACAGAACTGGTCACTTTTATGGGAATCAGATGAACGAATCCGCTGTAAGCGAGATTGGTAAAATATAAACTAAGTTATATGTATAATGGTGTTTCGGTTTCAGATGTAATGTTTCGGACTGTATTGTAAGAGTTTAGGACCTTTGACAAAGCCTATACATGCAAGCATAAACGGAACGTCAACGTTGAATGGAGCCAAACTATAGAAAATACTGCAAGACTTCATTATCTGTGAAGCTGGCAGACAAGTGTCCGTTGCGGCCATATTGCAAATTGAATCGAAACCTGATCTTTGTGAAATGAAGTGTAATGAGTACCGATTATTGTATTAATACAATGTTGTTCTGAAAATTGTATATATACGACGACACACACGACCAATGGTCAAGTAGACTTGATCCAGGTGAAATAAAACATTTATGGGTGACTGTTGTTTTACGCATATCGCATCCTTTTCACAGCATCTTCCCGAGGCAAGAGAGTTAACTGACTATAAAAGTCCAGTTTCCACCCTTGCCGAACTAGGCTGGTATTATGGAGTTACATTTTGGCTGGACTAACGAGTCTATGCATAGTCCAATCAAAATCGCGCAACGAAATCGAAATCCGGTTCGTAAACTTTCGGGCAGATTTCGGTCGATTGCAAGATTTGCAAAGCCTGTGCACAGCCAACTCGTTGCCAACAGATATTTTTCAAATCTGGTCATGTTTTTAACCAAGGAGATCACGTGAGGCCCGTTTTATCACAATCTAGATCTTGATTATCGATCAGATCGTCTTGACTTTGCGCCGCTAATTTGTTTGAAACAAATGCAAGTGATACGAGAGGTGGAATCGGAGAAGCTTAGAAGGGAAATAACTCGTAATATCCACTGGTGGCGCTACGATCGAGCCCAGTAATTCCAGCCTAGTTCGACAAGGGTGGAAGCTGGACTTTTAAAGTCAGTTAACTCTCTTGCCCCGGGAAGATGTTTCACTGCGACATGCAAGTCATTGAGTCTGACGAGACAAACAATATTTTCTTAAATATACATCACTCTCTTTATAAGGAATTAAAAGCTCTCATATGATGTAACATTACACACTAAAGGAGGCTTACCATTTCATTGAGTGTGGATATTTTGCGGAAATCTGCGTAGGGTAGAGGATTTATAGAAAGTGTGCACTTGCACTAGCAATTTATTCATTCATTTCTAAACAATAATGTTGAACAATAAAGTATACTATATTATTTAAAATCTTCAACGAAACCTGTAACCCCCTACTACAGTACCTGTGCGGAGTTACGTCCCTTGGTCATACGAGGATCCTCTTGTTGTGGGTTCGAATCCCAGATTATTATAGATCTTGTAGTTTGTCCCAAGGTCGTGGTTTCATCAAAATGGTAAATATTTACGACCTGAATATCTCGCTGATAAGCCGTTATGTAACTATTGTTCAGTGTGGCGTTAAGTTTTCAAAATTCAATCACTCACAGTTGTCATTGACTATCGAAAAGAAGCGTTACGAACACACCCGGATACACATTATAGCCTTGTCGAGTCACGGTGATAAGGTTCAGGATTCGGAGAAGTTCGCACTTACATAGCTTATGTAAGAATATGTTTTTTGTTTCGTATACATAGCTTATATAGACATATTTCCGTTGAAGCGTGTGTTGTGATTCCGGGAAAGGTTCCCCGCAAAGCCATTATATAGCTCTGTTGCAGAGAAACATGAGCAGATAGTCTTTCAAAGAATGGAGATCAAAGTGAATCAAATACTAGCATCGACTCACCCCCCTATCTCTCAAGTGGATCTAGTGCTGGTGGTGGCAAGATGGGGGGAGGGGTGTTGGAGAGAGAGAGAGAGAGAGAGAGAGAGAGAGAGAGAGAGAGAGAGAGAGAGAGAAAGAGAGATAGAGAGAGAGAGAGAGAGAGAGAGTGTGTGTGTGTGTGTGTGTGTGTGTGTGTGTGTGTGTGTGTACTGGTAACTTTGATTTGAAACTTCAATGACATGTTGTTTTTACCATCTTTACAATAAATTACCCGAATTTATTTAATACTTGTATTACTGGTTTAATCTGATCTTCCTAGGTGGGATTCCGGGTTAGACTAGCTCCGTGGCTTGTCATGCTTGAGAGTGGCGACAAAATGGACCGGGAGGCCACTTTAGTGCTTTGATAGTGGCATCAACGTTGGACGTTGGTGATTTTATCAATCACTGGTTCGTTTAGTTGACTCAGTAATTTATAGGCCGATTTATGTATCTGGACAGTCGCTGAATGTGGCGTTCAACAACCACGCACAAACAATAAAGACTGCAACAGTCACTGTGATACGTCAGTATGTGGATATTTTACGACTGCTTTAAACAGAAACATTGTGGCAGTTGTCAACCACTTGATTTTTTTTCTAATATCACGTAATGTATTAATATCAAATTATTCGTAAGTGTAGTTCTATCATCAGTTTCCAGTTTATGAACAATGTTCCCGGTTCTTTTTCTTACTCTTTACAAATCAGTTCCTTAAAGTCCCGTTAAACTGAACTGAATGAGGTCGGCGTGACCTGATGGGAAAACTCCACGTGGATGGTTGTGAACACATGCGAACAGGATATTACGGGGCACGTATGCACTGAAATACGATTCGTTGCTTTCGTTAGATAGGTGAACAACGGACAATTTAAAGGATACAGCAACATTGCCGCCCTAACATCGCGCTGTTCAACATTTAAAACGATACCAATAACGGATTTCGTTTAAAAAAAATAAATGATTTAACCTCGAATCCTGCAACCGTCAATCTGGAGATCATTTCATACAAGCTGATACCTTACGTTATCACATACATGTGTATTGTGAAAAAGGTACATCGTAAATACGTTTTAACACACAAAATATTGTTGGTATAGTTATTAATTATTAATTAAAAATCATACCTGCTTCTTTCCCTTTATCCGGCGGTTTGGCAAATAGATCCTTATAATGAATAAACGACTGAGCGTGTAGACTCAGAGTAATAACGATGCAAGCAATGACCTGGTAACGCCCCATTTCCATGTTGAAATTGATGCCGGACAGAGAGAGCCAGCGTCTCTTGTTACATCTACCAACACTGGGGACTCGGTGAGGGGAAGGGGAGTGATGCTGCGTTCTCTCCATCCTCCCATTGTTTCAGGCGATTCTTACATAATATTTCCTACGAAGCTGGCCTCGGATGTTGATTTGTGTCAGAGGCCATATATCTGTGTTATGATCTCTGGCTTGGTATGGCTTATATCGGAGGGCATTCAAGACATGCTTATTGTTCCTGGTTTTGTAAATGGGTGGCATGTGCTCAACTTGCTGTGTTGACAAACCATGCTTGTGCTTGGTGTAGGGGACTCTTAAAAGAGCTTGGAAGTTGTAGCTAATGTAAGTTTCGGGCGACTTTGATTTGGCCATACGGTACGGTTTTGCCGCATACTTGAAAGTGAGATAGGTAGATTTCTCAGTCAATGAATTCACTAATCAGAGGCGCATGGATGCACTAGATGTAAGGTGTCTGCGTGTGTGTGTGTGTGTGTGTGTGTGTGTCTGTGTGTGTGTGTGCGTGTGTGTGTGTGTGTGTGTGTGTGTGTGTGTGTGTTCAGTTCTGCTGTCGCTATTATTATAAATATATGAAATATTGTACTATAATTAAAAGCTGTTGAAAGTGTTGCCTTAAAACTTCTAAATACAACGAATTTGGGGGAATCGCGAGACGAAATCAAAAAGTATATTTGAAATTGAATCGACCTGTACCGACTTGATTAAACTCCAATTGATTAATAATAGCAATAATTCACTTATTCACATCACAAATTTTTATTTATATCAATAAATGAAATATATTTTGAGTTATATTATAATGTATTATAATATCGAAAAATGAAATTTGTGATATTTAAAATCTGAATTATTATTTCATACCAATAACTATTTTAATATTATTATATCTTTCACTTGAATTTTTATATCACTTATTATTTTTTATCAGTAAATCGAATTTGTAATATCTATTCCACTTCCAACATGTAATGTCTAACAGTATCTATACTACCACAATTTTCACATACATTACTTTCTTTAATGTTAATTCTATTTAAATACTGATTACAAGGAATGATTGAGTATTGAATTTTGAATTGCAGTTGCTTATACTTGCTTGTAAAGTAACTGAAACCGACTGCCTTTTTAGAATATTTAAAAGAGAACTAGAAATACAACACAAAGTACTACAGTATAACAATGTTAATCTTGCAGAAAAAATTAAATGTGTACTGAATAATTTGATCAGTATTATTGCTTTAAGCAACTCAAACCCAAATATAAACCCTGGTATGCCAGTCCACGTGGCAATGTACAGGGCCATGTAAAATCGTGGACAATTAACATGAATAAATGATGTCAAAAAAATAAATAAAATACAATGTATATGGTTCTAGATAACACCTACACGGAAGGAATGTTCGTGACGTCATTAGGAGAACCGTTTGTACAGTAACGGTGTCATGTTCATAATGTTACTGCCAAAACATGCGGATGTACGAAGATGATATATGTATGTGACAGCGGCGATGCGATATATTTTCACTTACACAATACTACGAACTGTGACGTCACAGGAAAATCAGGACAACAGCTGAACTAAAAAACTCCCACAATGCCCCAGGCTCCATTGTTTTACAGGCATGGTACAAGTAGGTGGGATCATTCACAGCGAGACCAAGATCATAAATTGTAATTATCTGCATCGCATCTTAAAGGCATGACGGTGCATTTCACGGTGCATAGATATAATTTGTCCACAATGTTTTAAACAGTTTAATAAGAGAATTATTGAAGATGATTGCATTTCTTAAGAACATGTCCATATTAGGACGATTTAAGACAAGCACTTTTTAAATATTGCATGTTTTTAAATCCTAACTTTACAAATCTGACTGATTTAAAAATATTTATATTTATTTTAAAGTCAGAAAATGTACAAGTCCTATTCGCAAGGACACTTTAGAAATTGTATAAAGGTAAACAATTATTTCATTCATGAACATTATGAATAGTACCATGTATAAGGATGTTTTGTACAGGATGCTAACAGTATCATTCTTATGTTTTATACGCACATGTATTTATTGTTATATTGTGTCTCTTTAAGCCTTGTGGTTGGGCGTTACTTTTAAATTATATGTCCATTTTTTTGTATATATACACAGCCTATGTAACGCGTGACACATAAATAAACTATTTCTCTCTCTCTCTCTCTCTCTCTCTCTCTCTCTCTCTCTCTCTCATATCACATAAACAATGAGTCACAAAAACAGAGAAACAGGAAAAGTTTCTATTTCACAAAAAGCTTTGTTTGGAATAATGGTTCACTTCATTATGAACTCTAAAATATTGTGGTTAGGAGCTTGAGTATAGAAATGTTTAATGTGTATTCATGCGTTAGTGGTATCCAAGGATATGCGCGTGCCTCGGCTGGAAGCTAGGCCGATGGGAGACAAAATGCACAGGTGGAGTTATTGACGACAGCAGCGGGTTTAATTGTTGATGGTGAATAACGGTCAAAAGGGTATAGATGTGTGACTTCTTCATCGGCGATGTAGTAGTTGTTGTTGCGGCAGCCGTGGACCCGTGAAGATCCGGATTAGAATAGGTCTTCTGCAACCCTTGCTTGTCGTAAGAGTCGACTAACGGGATCGGGTGGTCAGGGTCGTCGACTTGGTTGATGTATGTCATCGTATCCCATTTGCGTAGATCGATGTTCATGATGTCAATCACACGATTGTCTGGTCCAGACTCGATTATTTACTCACCGCCGTTATATAGCTGGACTATTCCGGAGTACGGCTTAAATTACAACAAAAAATGTTTAGAAATGATATGACAATGAACTGGTATTCTGTGGATTTTTCCATTCCGTTTCATTTATTCTGTATCCTTATAGAGTCCAATATTTGTAGTAAACAGGCAGCATGACGTCATTTCGCAATGAAGAGATCACATTGTTATTTGTAGAAAATACAGGACAATATACGTGTGTGTGTGTGCGTGTGTGTGTGTATGTGCGTGTTGTTTATCTGATCACATTGTTTAATTAGCCTCAATATTATTGCAATTTAAAAAATCAAAGCATTAAATTAAATTAAAACATGTTTCATTCGGAACAAAACCAAATGATACAAACAAAGCGTCGAAAAATTAAAGCCAAAAAGAGAAAAAACGTTTACATGAAATTCAAACAAACATATTTTGGTCGTTGCTTTTCAAGGTTTAGCTGTTTTTGAAATGATACGATCTTATTTTCAGTATTTCACATATAACTACATCGACACATATCGTGATTGTTAACCAAGGCCTTAAAAGAAAAGAAAAGAAATTCAAAGATTGACAAATAAGTGTGTCTCGGGATGTACGAATGAGCTCGACGTGGTTTCGAATTTATGACGGAAGCGATGTTGATTATTTATTGTGTTTGTTAGCCCTCTATCAGTGCGTGTGGACTTTACCAAAGTTGGAAACGTCAACCACATGTGTCTCCAAATATACTTACACGCCAGAGATGACATTATGTTAAAAACATGTTGTCGTCATACATGTGATTCCACAAAAAGCATCTCAATCTGAAAGAGGATGAGAATACAATTTGGAGCTGACAAAAAAAGGTACTCAAAAACATACTCAGCTGAAAGGATTACCTCACGGTGGACGACTGATCCCATGATAACAAAACTTGTTTGTTTGTTTGTTGTTTAACGCTGCACTCTGCAATATTCCAGCTATATGACGGCGGTCTGTGATTAATCGAGTCTAGACCAGACAATCCAGTGATTGACATCATGAGCGTCGATCCACGCAATTGGGATCGATGCATGGATCGATGCTCATGATGTTATCACTGAATTATCTGGTCCAGATTGGTTATTTACAGACCGCTGTCATATAGCTGGAATATTGCTGACATCAGATCCGGATAAATACAATGACATGCATCAACCAAAACAGCAAGCCTGACAACCCCACCCCTGCATTTTAATCGCCTCCTACAACAAGCATAGTGTCTTTTTACCCCCAGCATGAGTTGTTGACAAGCTGTTTGGGATCTTCACTTGAGTGAAACCAACCAACACATTTATGGTCCTGCAAACCTAGGAACAAAATCAGGGTGAACCTTAAGGAAACCATGGTCATAGATTCCTGGCATGTCTAAGGGAGGCAACTCTGCACAAAATCCGACCCATTAGAGGACTGGGCCACCCCTGCCCCACATGGCTGAAAACAATTACAATATGATGTAGTATCACCATATTTAGTTCGAAATGGGATGTGTGTCACAATACCCTTTTGGGAGTTAAAATATATCAAGGTATTTTGCAAAGAAACACAAAACGAAATTTTTCCAATTTTGTTGACATCCTTGCTGTATTCATGTCATTTCCAGAGGGGTACAGGGGGCACAGTCATCTTAAGGCATGCAGCTGTACAGAGTATTTACCATCCCTAATGGCATGGATTGTTTGTCATAATATCAATCACTGGTTAGTCAGAAACACAAAACAAAAGCACTTACACGTACATAAATTTAGCTTTATTCCACATGATAAATAATATACAACATAATTAATTTTTTAAATAATTAATTTTTTACAATCATGATGATCATAAAACTGATTATGTTTAATATCTCCCTGTTCACAAAGCTTATGTGAAGTATTTGTAAATATAAGATATTTGTTCATATAAAGCCATGAAACAGCTTTCATTTAGCCTGTACAAATATGAATTTACAAATAATGATTTGTGAATGACAGCTTATTTGGAGTGTGGGTGTGGTGAGAGTGCGGGGCTGGGGCTGGGGCCGGGGGTTGGAGTGTGGGTGGGGTTAGGGTGTGGGGCTGGGGGTTGGAGTGTGGGTGGGGTTAGGGTGTGGGGCTGGGGGTTGGAGCGTGGGTGGGGTTAGGGTGCGGGGCTGGGGGTTGAATTGTGGTTGGGGTTAGGGTGCAGGGCCAGGGGTTGGAGTGTGGTAGGGGTTAGGGTGCAGGACTGGGGGTTGGAGTGTGGGTAGGATTTTGTTAGCAACAGAATAAATTATCAGTCAGGGTTTGAAAAAGTACAATTTTTCTCTTACAATTGTCATAAATCCCACAACACATAATTTTTCACAACATTCATCATACAAGTGAACAATTTCCTTTGGGAGGGGGGGGGGGGATGTGTGTGTAAAAACAAAGGCAAGCTTTTTTTCTGTCATTTTTGGGAACAGATGATAAAACGATGGGCCCCTAAATAGCACTTGGTTAAACATTTAAAACATGACTGTCCAATCAGAACATCTGACACAACACACAACCCCATTTTGACTTCCACCAATGTGAGATATTATTGAGGTCAAATTTCAGAATGAATACAGATATCCAATAAACTCCATACAGTGCAACTGACCATCATGTAGACTGACCAATGTCCAGCAGCAAGAAAATATGAAAGATGCAGTAAGAAAAACCTTGATAGTTTAAAAAAATGCATCTGGAACCATTGATACATGGATAAATGTCACGTGTTAGAATTATACAGATCAAAAGAACGTATCTGTTGATCACCTATTCACCCTGGTTAATGGGGCTTGGTTAAGGCAGTTGGTTAATTAAGTCACTTCTGAATCAAATACAGATACCTTATTACATATTTAGTGATGAAATGCTGTATTTATTTGAAAAATTACAACTGATGTCTCACCCGATGAAATAACACTTTATGTGAACTACTTTCAGTGTTCTTCGACATGTTCAGTGACACAATGAGGGCATCATTGAATATCTGTAATAGTATACAGAATAAATAGAATGTCTGGCTTTTGTTTTTTTACATTATATTTAGTTTGATTACGAGACTGACAGGCAAAAAAATCCTGAAATTAGGAAAAAAATAATATGACTTTTGACAAAAAATCTTTTGGCTGACTGTTTTACAATTAAGTGAAATGAATGCACCACAAGATTTTATCAGTGCTGTTCGTAAGAAAAGGTGAAAAAGACATAATTTCTTTTTCTTCTAAACCTAAAAAAACCCAATCAATTATCTTTCAGTGTCTTGCCATGGAAACACTTGTTTGTTTCTCATTTATTAGTAGCAGTACAAAATTGAAATTCGAATTTTATCTTTTCCCCGAAACCAACCAAAAAAATAAATATATTATTTATTATATGTTATTTGATAAAAGAATCTAAGTATCATTACGTGTTCTGCACTAAACCTGTTCTTATCGGATGCATGTGGAAAGGCACCAGCATGCTCTGGTGGAATAAGCTGAATGCATATGTTTTCATGCTTTGTATTTCTTTCCAAAGTTCTGATTTGCTAATCACATCATAATTTTGCAATTTAGCATATCAAATATTTTTAAGAACAAAATATTATCCTGTAACTCTTAAATAAAGCTGATATGAAACAAAGGCAAAAAGGTTTTTATCATAATGCTTATTTACCTATTTACCTTATGGCCTTATGATGTTGTTTACATGTTGACAATATAATATATGAACATGTTTTACATTTCCCATTAACATGGCATCTTGTTTTAAGTATGTTGCAGATTGTTTGTATGTCTTGATGTTGCCCTAAGCTGAGGTTTCCAGGGAAATACTTTTGTCGTACATGGAATTGTCGAATCCACTTCCAGAGTCGTAGTCGAATTTGTGACCTCCCCGCCTCCGTATCACAATGAAGATGGTTATGGCTGCAGCCAGTGCCAACACGATGATACCCAGCACTATGGCAGCAATTCCTCCAGATCCCACAGCAGGTCCCGTCGAGCCTGAACATACAAAACACCATCACCATGACAACATGCATGTCTACATGAGTCTAAACCTACAAAACACCATCACCATGACTACATGCATGTCTACATGAGTCTAAACCTACAAAACACCATCACCATGACACCATGATGGTGTAGTAGAGTATTAACATACAAAACACCACCACCATGACTACATGCATGTCTACTCAAGTCTAAACCTACAAAACACCATCACCATGACACCATGGTGGTCTAGTAGAGTATTAACATACAAAACACCACCACCATGACTACATGCAGGTCTAAACGTACAAAAACATCCCCCCCCCTCCCCCATGACAACAGCGGCCACATCAGGGCAGCACCATCATGACCACAGAATCCACGGCAGGGCCAATCCAGGTCGGTGTTATCTCACAAAGGTTAGAGTTGTCCACAACTGTGGATCAGGTGATTTTATGACACTGTACCTGTGGAGCATTCCTCTTGCTTTAAAAAAATGACTTGCAGCACCAAATAGACTTTTTTCAGGCTGTCTTCCTATTGCTGGAATATTACTGGCAGGGTGTAAAACAACAAGCATTCTAGCCCTGCTGACAGGGCGACGTCCCTGGTCACTGTCCAGGTGAGTGACCAGGAGGCAGGTCATTGGTTCTATTTCCAGCAGTTGCTCCAGGGGGGCACGGGTGGCCCAGTCGTCTAAGGTACCACAATTCGCTCTGCAGAGTTGCGTCCCTTGGGCACCCAGAAACCTGTGGTTGTGGCTTCAAATCCCGGTTCGCACCGATCATGTTTCTAGGTTTGTCAGCACCATACCCGTGCTCGTGGGTTTCACCGAAGTGGTAAACATCTGAGTCCCGCATCACTTCAAGCTTTTCTCCCACATTAAGCTGACTCTCCGTGGTATAACTGGGATACTGTTCAATGCAGTGTTAAACCCAACACACTCACTCACACTTGCTCCAGGAATGTTAATCTGCTCCAGCTAAGCACAGGCCCTTGTGCAATATCCTATTATACTTTTTACACAAGGCCAGACACTCCATACAGCACTGCTCGCCTTGTATCGTTTTTCATTCTGTGTGGGTCTGATGTCGGCCATTTGTGCCCAGTTGGATTCAAAGTGGCAAGTTGACAGCTTTCGGTCGGTATTATAGAATTGGGAGGTCTCATGCATTGGAATTGATAGAATAATCACCCTAGACGCAGATGTGAATTTTTTGTGCAAGATTTGCGATTTTACTTTAGAAATAGCGATACAAGGTGAGAGGCTGTACAGAGTGTCTGGCCTTGTGTAAAGGTATGATAGGATAGTGCATTTTTGACACTTGTGATCTTAACTGATCTAGAAATATTTAAGCAATGACACAAGGGCCCGTACAGCTACATGGGTTTAATGAGCTAATTCAACACTGATGTCCATTGCTGATAGGGCGCGGTGGGGCAGCCTGGTGGTGAAAGTGTTGCCTCATCACACTTATGACCTGGGTTTGATTCCTCACATGGGTACAAACGTACAATGTGTGAAGCCCATTCCTGGTGTCCCCTGCCCTGATATTGCTGGAATATTGCTAAAAACGGCGTAAAACCCAACTCACTCACTCATTTCTGAGAGATGGCGAGTTGTTTTTTGGTAAGCGCTATATTTGTGTGGCCCTAATGTGATTCCTCTGTATGATCTTTGGTTGGTAGAAAGTATTGAGAAACATGCAAATATCATCCCTGTAGAGTGAACATTGCCTTAGAAAGTGTCAGTTTTATGTCACATTGTGACACTGACCTTTGACTGACCTTGATCAAAATCTTCCCAAATCAGGCCCCATCCTAGAGAATGTAATATATTAAGCTTTATAAAAAATCTTCATAATGTTTGAAGATTTTGTGACTTTTTGAAAAGGAAGGCCTATGTAAACAGATAGAAATGTTCTAATTCTTACCCTGTTTGCTGGTGACAGATGATTGACTGCTTTTGGCTGTTGTGTGAATAGTTGGAGGGGTCTTGCCTGGGCCCAGAGTTGGGGCTTGAGTTGGGAATTTTGTTGGGGCAGATGTCACTTGAACTGGAGGCACATTGACCTTGCTTGTGGTTGGCTGGACAGTTCTGACCTTGGCTGCAGTTGGCTGGACAGTTGTGACCTTGGCTGCAGTTGGTGGGACAGTTGTGACCTTGGCTGTAGCTGTCTGTACTGTTGGCACCAGTTGTGGAGGTAGTGTTACTGGAGGTGGTCCTGTTATGGATCCTTGGGCTGGGATGGAGGGAAAGTTCTGAACGCTTGTGTCTTGAACTGGAAAGATTCATTTGTAATACATTATAGCTCATCTCATCTGGTCTTGAAACAGCTTATGACCCTTAATGTTCATAAAAACAAAAAAGGGGCAGTGGGGTTGCCTAGTGGTTAAAACGTTTGCTCACCATTTCTGGTCAAAGCCCGGTTAGATTCCCTACAAGGGTACAATGTGTGAGGCCCATTTCTGGTGTCCCCCACCATTATATTGCTGGAATATTGCCAAAAGCGGGGTAAACCATGCTCACTCACTCACTGCTGATAGATGGTGAGTTGTTTTTTGGAAAGCGCTATATTGTGTGGCCCCAATGTGATTCCTCTGTATGATCTTTGGTGGGTAGAACGTATTGAGTAACATGCAAATAGCATGCTGAATTTACTTATCCTTGTTAAATTTGAAATTCTTGCAATAGGGATACTATAAAGATGAGTCAAGTCAACTTCTGAATAAATAAAATTCAAACCCACAATGACAGTCTACGAGCCACTTAATACTTTGGTGTTCTGCTTTCCTAGCACCTGCTCACATTTAAGGCATGCTGGATTATTTTGGTGGCAATGTTTGTTTGTTGTTTAACACTGCACTCAGCAATATATGATACAGTCTAGACAATCCAGGGATTGACATCACGAGCATTGATCTACTCAATTTGCGATACAGTGACATGCATCAACCAAGACAGCAAATCTGACCACCTGATCCCTCTAGTCGCCTCTACGACAAGCATAGTGGCCTTCTATGGCAAGCATGGGTTGCTGAAGACGTATTATGGCCGGGATCTTCACGGGTGGATCACTCAGTGCCACGTTGCAGGATCTTCCTCCTTGGATCCTTACCTTGTGGCTTCTCACATATGAAGCCCCTCGAGGAGTCACAGCTGACGTCATTCCACAGACCAGTCTGGGAAAACACCTCCACACAGTGCTCCTGTTTCCCACTGGGATCCACCTTGGACGGCTCGTTGGGGGCCCAGTTCGTGAACTGCACAGGGCTGTTGTCACGCCAAGCAAAACCATCTGAAAGTGACAGTGGATATTGGCTAACCGTATTCGACGTAATAAGCGCCCTGCTCCAATAAGTGCCCTTGGCGATATTTGCTAATATATTGGCTAGTGAACAATCTCAATTAGCACCCTTTTCAATTGATAAATGTACACAAGACTTATTTATTTGTGTATAATACGCACTCGTATGTTATATGCAACCTTAGTTATGGGCAGTTAAATCCTGGAAAAATATATCTGTCGTATATAAACATATCAGGCTGTCAGCATAAACCACGAAATTTACGATCTTTAGATAATATTCTAATAAGAGCCCCCTATTTCTAATTTTGAGAGCGCCCTGGGCGCTAATTACGTCGAATACGGTAATATGTTTAAGACAGTCTGTAAATAATACATCTAGAGGGTGGAAGTCTGAGAAACAGGGGAGGTGAATGGTTTTTATGTTGTGTGTGTGGCTGCTTGTACAAGTCCGGACTTAAGTCAGTTTTATAGCGTTAGCCTACTGAGATACCTTGCCACAGTTTAACATGAATACCCCACTTAGACACAGTATACTGACTCCGAGCCGACCAGTCCTTGTTTCAGCCCCTTAATGCTGAGCACCAGGCAGGGAAACAACAAGTACCATCTTTTAACCTCTTTTGGTATGACACAATGGGATCAAACCGCCAACATCCCACTCTCTGGGCATGCCGACTAGACAACGGAGGCAGTGTGCATGAGAAACAGTCCATGGAGGTAGGATGACACAACACCAGTCTGGGTAATTGCTGTAACCATGCACTGATCCCAATTGTTATCTTCTCCTCCAACAAGCAATGGATGCCTATCAGAGAGAGTGGGTGATGATGGTATTACGCCTCTTTAGCAATACTCCATCAATTTCACAGCAGGGAATGCTAGAAGTGGACCCTCAGGTTCACCCTGATTATGTTTATTGGTTTGTCAGCACCAAACTGCGTTTGTGGGTTTCATCAAATTGGCATCTCTCCTGTTAATCTCATTGTCTTTGTCATTATTATGTTATCTTTGTAGAAGAAGAAGAAGAAGTCTTTATTTGTACCAAGGCCACTGGCCCATATACAATACATACATTTGAAATAGTGTGGTACATGAAAAAAGGTAATGTCAGGTACAAATTTACAGGTTTACAGGCTTTTCATAATTACGTCTTCTTTCATAGCTGTAATACAGGTATTTACATAGTTTTCCAAGTAATTGTTTACACGAAGATGACAGTAGCGTTTTAAATTTATGCATATTTGGATTATTGCAAAATGTTGTTGGTAAATACAGATGTCTAATATCGTTGTAATATTCACATTCTAAAGTAAAATGATATTCATTCTCTATACTTGTTTCACATATGGGGCAGAGTCGTAAACGTAAGTCAATATCAGCCCATCTACCTTCGTTTACCTTAAGTCTTAGTAGCCCAGCTCTAAGCCTTATCAAAACATTTCGATATTTTATTTCAGTAATAATGGAAAGGTATTTTTCTGGTTCCAGGAGACTTTTAAATTCTTTATACAGAATGTACCTAGAACTAGCCTTGATAGTACTATTCCATGATTGGTAGAACATATTTATCAAAACGTTTTTAAAACTATTCATGAATGATGGTTTGTCGCCAACAGCTTGACTGAGCCAAACTACTCCGAATCCGTGAGAAAATAATATGGAACGAATAGAAGAAGCATAGTTATGACGACCACACTTGTCGTTTTTCAAGATTTTCTTGGTATCCTATCTTCGTCCATTTCAATCAGTTTTAGCCAATACTTTACAGAACGACACATAGCATTTACATGTAGTGGGTACCGACCGCATTCCCCATACACAATAGCATTTGGGGTTTGCAACCCAACGTTAAGAAACTTCTTACAAGCCATAATATGCACTTGTTCTATTTTTTCAAATCTGTCTACACCCCATATTTCCGCACCATATAAAAGAATAGGTTGAATCTGAGTATCAAATATTTTAAAGAAAACTGAAGTGTCAACAAAACCAATCTTCCGTAGATTGCGAAATATTTCCATTAAAGCTCGTTTACCCCTTGACGCTAGATCTGAAACACATTGGTTCATCTTTGATGTATATGAGAATACAAACCCAAGATATCTATAGGAGTTGGCGGTTGAAATACGTTTGCCTTTATAGAACCATTTCTCATGAACAGATAACCGCCCTCCTCGTCTAAATACAACAACACTCGTTTTATCTAAATTAACCGTTGATCCATGTGAATCTGCAAAGTTATCAAGAATATTAAGTTGGTTCTGTAAACCAGTTACTGTGTCAGAGACAAGAATAACATCGTCGGCAAACAATAATAATAATATTTCAAACAAGTCAGGAAATAATTGTACGCCGTGTTTCCCATGTGATGAAACATCATTTGACAGTTCATTGATGAAAAAGGAAAATAATAGAGGGCTTAATATACAGCCTTGTTTAACTCCATTAGGACAATCAAAATATTCTGTATAAATGTTATCATGACATCTCACACACGCTTTCACGGAGGCATAGATTCCCTTAAGTGCTCTCATCATCTTTCCACCCAAGCCTACATCGTGCAGACACTCCCATAGTTTGAGATGATTTACTGAATCAAAGGCTTTTTTAAAATCCACAAAAGCAACGTATAATTTCCCTTTTCTTTTCGATAAACATTTGTTAACAATTGCATTCAACGTGAATATGTGGTCAGCAGGAGAATATCCCTGTCTAAATCCTGCTTGTGTCTCGGGTAATTTACTTCTTATATTAGCCCAGTTTGTAAGTCTAGAGTTTAAGACACTTGTGTAAACCTTACTAATTGTACACAATAGAGATATCCCTCTAAAGTTATCTGGATTATTTTTGTTACCTTTCTTATGTAGTGGAAGGATAATAGCTTTCGTCCAGTTCTGAGGGAATAATCCAGAATCAAATAACTTATTGAACAAATTTCGTAGGAAAGGAGTTATTACATTTTCACAACATTTTGACATTTCAATGACCACGTCATCAACACCAGGGGATTTGCCATTCTTTAAACGATTTATAGCCTTGTGGATTTCTGAGTCGGTAATCGGCGACTCCAAAATACACTGGTCAATCTCATCAAGTATAAAATCTTCATCACATTGACATTCGACTTCAGCATGTAATACATCTGTACACTGAAAAACGTTTGTAAAATGATCAAACCAGCACTCTTTACTTATGTTATTCTTTGTTTCCCTACGACCTGATATACTCCGTAACTCTTTCCAAAATGTGGTTGAATCAGATAGAGATAGCTTTAGTTTTGTTCGTGTCATAAATTGATAGTTTGATTTTGCTGTTCTGCAAACATGTTTATAGTTGTTTCTCATTTTACAAAAGATTAACTTATTAACTTTTGTACATTAATCCCACCTTGTGTTGTGTAGACATGTCTGCATATATATATATATATATATATATATATATTTATATGTATATATGTATATATATATATATATATATAGACACACACACACACACACACACACACACACACACAAACTCTATGTGCCTACTTAGCACTTCTTTTATGAAGAGGCAAGAGTGAGTGAGTGAGTTGGGTTTAACGCCGCTTTTAACAGTATTACAGTTATATCACGGCGTGTCAGCTTAATGTGGGAGGAAAGCCTTAAGTGATGCAGGTCTCAGACGTTTACCACTTCGGTGAAACCCATGAGCATGGGTTTGGTGCTGACAAACCTAGAAACATAATCGGGGCGACTCGGGATTTGAACCCACAATTATAGGTTTCTGGAGTGCCCAAGGGACACAAGTCCGCACAGCGAATCGCGGCACCTTAGGCCACTGGGCCACCTGTGCCCCTGTAGAGGCAAGAAGTAGCTCTGATACGTCATGACAAAAAATAAAAGTTGTTTTTCTTTAAGTGTTATGTGTTCATATCATGAATCTGTTTTTACTTCTGTCAAGATATTTGTTTTGACCTCTCCACAAGAAATGTACCATATGTTCCCATGTTTTATCAGGTGAACTGTTGACATGCCTATGCATGTGTTTGTGAAGGTGCCACCAGTGGCGCAGGATATGCTCACTTTTTCGCGAAAACCTGGTATCAATCACTATTTGACAGTGATTCATAAATACATGCTCAAAATGTAGTCAGATTTGTACAATCGACTCGTTTTTTGTGAATATAGAAAGGGTTTTTTCCCTATTCTTTACAACTGCCTCCGTGCTCTTGTGGTAGAGCATCTGCCCAGAGAGCAGGTCTGAGGTTCGATCCCTGGCCACGTCATACCAAAAGATGTTAAAAGATGGTACTTGTTGTTACCCTGACTGGCGCTTGGCATTAAGGGGCTAAGACAAGGACTGGCAGGCTTGGGGTCAATATAATGTGTCTGAGTGGGGTATTCATGTTAAACTGCGGCATGGTATCTCAGTGGGCTAGCACTATTAATCCGAATCAGTCGGAACTAGCACAAGCAGCCACACAAACCCACACACGTACATGCATGTCGCTATATTAGTGCAATAATCTTGGCCATGACGTTAAGCCCCATTTTCCTTCACCTCACCTCACCTCACCACACCCTATTATTTACAGGAATATTTGATTAGTACTCACAATCAGTTGACTTGTGGAGTCCGATCCATGCACTTGTTGATGTCTGATATTTGATGTGATAATACAGGTATTTGTTGGTGGTGTTGTCATGGACTGCCACCAGGTGGCCTCCGTGCTCCTCACACTGGAACACTGCTGCAGGAAAAGTGAGCTGCTTGGAGCCCTGGAACCAGTAGCAGCTGGAACCGAAGGACTCCCATCCGTCGTCTGGACACTGGCCGTTGGGTGGCGGGGGTGTGAACAACGGCTTGGCTGGGGATTGCACAGAAGATATAAGGGTTGAAGACTTGAAATGAATTTCCCCCAGACCACAATTGGCTACTTCAAAATCTGACCATTCCTTGTCAAAAGTTTTATTGACATTTTATAGAATCTGTTATGATGAGTCTTTTTCTGTTGTGTTTTACCTCAAACTTGAATTTGTGTAGTTTTTGTACAAAATAGACATGATAGTTTCACCCGTCGTGGAATTATCCCATCATGGATGGTGGGATGGTCTATTATCTGCAACTCTTGAGATATCTTCATCTTAAACTTGTTTTACCAATAGATATCACTTGGGTGAATGAATGAGTGAGTGAGTATGGTTTTACGTCACTTTTAGCAATATTCCAGCAATATCATGGCAGGGAACACCAGAAATGGGCCTCACACATTGTACCCTCGTAGGGAATTGAACTGGGCTTTGACCACTAGGCTACCTGACCGCCCCTCTCTTGGGTGAGATCAAGCCATATCTCCCAGTAGATATTGCTACAATGAAATTTCATCATAACGCCTTGCAGACCACTGTGATGTCATTGTTACTATGGCATCACAATGAAATGACATCACTTATCTCTCTGCCACTGAAGCTGTACTTTTTAGACTCAAGACACTGCTTTTTGCTGTTTTCAAATTGAAAAAGTTGGGAGAAAGATTTTCGACTTTCATTATTTCTCTTTCGGCTACAAGTGTGCTAGAATACTCACATGTTGTGATCCGGCAGGTGAACTTCAATGTGTTAGAGCAGTCGTCATCACTCCAAGCTCCGGTCGTGGCGTTGAATGAGACGCAGCCTCCTTGCGGACGTCGGGAGGGTTCATTCACCCCCCAGTTGGTGTACAAGACAGGCACAGAGTCAGGCCACACATACTTCCCTGTCTGAAGAAGATAAACAACATTTGATCTGATGCCCCCTCGTGGGGATTCCAGGTTAGAATTGGTCACCAGCAACCTCTGCCCTGTCCCCTTGTTGGGATTTCAGGTTAGACGACGACTATGCTTGTCGTAAAAGGTAACTAATGGGATCGGGTGATCAGGCTCGCTGACTTGGTTGATGCATGTCATCTTATCCCAATTGCGTGGATTGGTGCTCATGATGTCAATCACTGTATTGTCTGGTCCAAACTCGATTATTTACAGACCGCCGTCATATGGCTGGAATATTACTGAGTGCAGTGTTAAACAACAAACAAGAAAATCTTACTGACTACATGATACTTGTGATACTCTTGACAAGGTGTAGACTAGTGAATAATATGTCAATGTTAACAATAAAACCAAGCGTCTTTAAAGCCTTACGAAGAGATAGGCCCTTGGGCCACTAAATGTCATCAGAAACAATGATTAAATGTGAAATTAATACACACAAAAGGACCCTCTCTGGAAAAAATAATTAATGGCACCAATTTTCGAATTCCATCTTGATAAGTATCTTTTAGAAAAGCTTGCAAAGTTTAAATGATAACTTCAGCGGTTTCTCAGAAAACCTATCTCCATTGCAGACACAGTGCTAAAAGTAACACAGCATGGATCAAGAGCAAACTTTAAAATATGTAGTGAGGGAAGTAATGCAAAAATAAATTGTGGCACCAATTTTCGAACTCCATCTTGATAAGTATCTATAAAGATAAGCTTGCAAAGTCTCATTCATGTAACCTTAATAGTTTTTGAGAGAACTTGTCCCCATTTCCCCACTAAGCTGAAAAGCACAGAGCAAGCGACATAACTCTGTAAAAAATTAAATTTAAGACACCAATTTTTGAACTCATTTAAGATCATGACCAGTAACATCTGAAACATCAGCGTGTAAATTTTCATTTCTCTAACTTCGTTATTTTTTTGAGAAAAAATGTCTCCTTTGAGAAGAGGATGGATGGAGAGATGAACTCCGTTTCTATATCCCCCACCTAACCTTGTGGCAGGGGATAAGTACATGTATATATTGAATACCCCCCGAAATTATTAATACCAATGTGAATGATAACATGGGAGTAGATACTCATTGGTCAAACAGACCCATGAAGATCCGGGATAGAATAGGACTATGCTTGTCGTAAAAGGCGACAAACGGGATCGGTTGCTCAGGCTTGCTGACTTGGTTGATACATGTCATCGAACCCAATTGCGTGGATCGATGCTCATGATGTCAATCACTGGATTTGCCAGACTCGATTATTTACAGACTGCCGTCATATACCAGGAATATTGCTGAGTGCAGCATTAAACAACAAACAAACAAATCATTGGCCAAATAAATTATCTTAAACCATATTATAAGCTGACATTGCATCATATACCTGCAATATTCATCAAAGTGGTTTTAAACTCACTCACACTTTTATGTATTTGTCTGAATGATATATAAAGATATCAAACATCAGAAATGTTTACAGTTAGATTTGGATAACCATCCTCCTCCCACTGCCAGATATAGATGAGATTCTCAGTTGATGCCAGTACCTGATTTTGTGATTGCATCATACCAATCCACATCGACGAGGTAGAGCTGTTGCTGGTTGCTAGGAGATACATATAAGCCTGTTCATATAGGCTGTTGATGGTGGTGAGACGTCCTCCTAGTTGAGTGCAGAACGCCTCACTATCCGACCACGTCCTGGGTGTGGTCACTAGTTTGAAGCAGTCCTGACCCAGGGGTTGCCAGCCTTGTTTGCAGGGGTTGGGAATTGCCTCGGGGATGGTGATGTAAGGTTCTTGAAAAAACATTGAAAAGAAGCATGAAATACTCATATCCTCTGCCAATATGACATGCCCTCTTGTGTGCAAGGCATTAGCACTCCGGAAACGAGCACTACCGCCATTTTCAGTCTCGAAACTCAAGTCAAACTTGAAAAAGAACTTTTTTTAAAATCCCAAACTATCAAAAGGCACAGTTTACCACTAGACCTATCTATTTACTAAGTTTGGTTAAGATATCTCTCATGGTTTTTGAGCTCTTCTCCGTAAACGAAACGTGATGGACAGACTGATTGCAGGACGGACAAATGACAACACCCATTCCTATATCCCCATTCCACTTTGTGGCAGGGACAATAACGGCATAATTGGCCTATGGAGTTCAACTAGTGTGTTCTTCTGATGCCATGTTTGGTCACTAGTGCCTGTATTAAGCAAGTAGTTAAAAAACAACAGTTGCTAAATTATCTTAATAAAACATAAAAAGGAACCCAGAGCAGTTCTTCAGAAACTAGTAATCTAGACTTGCAAATATTATAGACTTTCATGGGTTGTATTGGAGATATTTGTTTCAGGGTCTGTATGACAGACGAGGCGTAGGGGCAGCCTTGTGGTTAGAGCATTGGCTCATCAATCAGAGGACAAGTACCTTTCTCCACATGGATATAACCAGGGATATATCTAGGACCCCATGTCCTAGATTGTACTAGTCCGGACTAATGCCGATTTTATAGTGCTGGCCAACTGAAATACCATGTCACAGTTTAACACGGATACCCCACTGAGACACAGTATAGTGACCCCGAGCAAACTAGTCCTTCTCTTATCCCCTTAATGCCGAGTGCCAGGCAGAAGAACAACAAGTACCATCTTTTAATGTCTTTTGTTAAGACACGGCCAGGGATCCTTCCGCTCCAATGCTTGCCATAAAAGGCAACTATGCTTGTCGTAAGAGGTGACTAATGGGATCGGTTGTTCAGGCTCGCTGATTTGGTTGAGGTATGTCACCGTATCCCAATTGCGACACCTTAGCCACCTGACTCACACTAATGTCAAATATGATACAAAACTGTTACTAACTTCTCCATGTCTCACACAGGAAGCCCATTTTGGCCTCACAGCTGATGTCATTCCACAGTCCTGCTTGGGCGGTCGTGGAGTACATCTGGACACAGCTCTCCTGACATTAGAAACAAGGAAATACATCACACACCCTGAAGGGCTCCTTCTCTGTAACATGCTTTAGATGAAATCAATGAATTTTAAAATTGGAAACAAAAAATTTTAATGAGACTTTTCCAAAGTCAATAAACAAATGTACAATCAAAAAATAACTTTTCACGTTAACCTTGACCCTCCCCAAAGTTTATGGAGACCTTCTAAACAGGTTAGGGGCAGTCAGGTAGCCTTGTGGTTAAAGCGTTCACTCGTCACGCCAAAGACCTGGGTTCGATTCCCGACGTGGGTACAATGTGTGAAGCCAATTTCTGGTGTCCCCCGCCGTGATATTGCTGGAATATTGCTAAAAGTGGCGTAAAACCATACTCACTCACTCACTCGAAATAAATCAGTTTGTTTTTTACGCTGTACTGTTACAGATGTATGCCAGCGGTCTGTAAATAATCGAGTCTGGACCAGGCAATCCAGGCAAGTTTTTTTCTCCCCACCCCCTTCTCTGACCACTGAACCTACCACCCCTCCACTCATAAAGTAGCTGCCATACTACTCAAAAGAAGTTAAAGATTCTTTCATATTACTTTCATGTTACTTGATCTCTCATGTTAATCTGTAACTGTAGTAATACGAAAGAATCAGGTGGTCCTTAACTTCTTCAGAGTAGTATATATTTCACGCCCTCGGTCAGTCCAACCTTCATGTCTCCATTTGGTTCCTTGGCTGCCCAGTTGGTGTACAGCAGGGGGTCATTGTTGAAGGCCCACAGCAGGCTCTGGGACCCCCCGAACCCAGGGGTCTTGTACATCCCCAGCCACAAGGGCGTGGCCGTGTTGAGCAGCAGCGTGGTCACAAAGGCTGCACAGAAAAGAGGGACACATTGACAGCAAAACAATGACAAGAAATAGTTTGGTTCCAAGGCATTTCAAACTTAATTTGTAAAACAAATCTTTGTAAGAATGGCTATGTTATAGTGCCTGACACATTCATAATGTTCTCGGAAAGCAGTGCTATTGGTGCATAGAGCTTGGGGAAATTATTATTATTATCATTATACATTTATATACCGCAGGCAACCAGGTACTAGTGTCTACCCCAATGTGGTTTTATTTGTTCCCCGACCAGCAGATCCGTATGCATTCCAGTTTTCATTCTCAACTCCCTGGGGGGTATACAACCCAAGTTAGGGTGCTAGGGGTTGTAACATCCACTTCACATATTGGGTACTCATTCCCTGCTGGGTGAACAGAGGCACAGAAGAAATATGTGAGCACACACAACTGAGTCTGCGAATGTTGTTGGACACCATAGTTAGAAATACCACCATTCCAGCAATATCTCTGCAGCCTACAAATAATCAGCCAAGTCACAGCTTCACCAGCAACCCAATTAGTCACCTCGTACGACAAGCATCGGCTGATGGTGACCTATTTCAACCCAGAATCCCTATGGTTGAGTGAGTGAGTATGGTTTTACTCCGCTTTTAGCAATATTCCAGCAATATAGTGGCGGGGGACACCAGAAATGGGCTTCACACATTGTACCCATGTCGGGAATCGAACCCGGGTATTTGGCATGCAGATCGAACACTTTAACCACTAGGCTAAACGACCGCCCCTATGGTTGACGACCTGCTGGTTCTTTGCGACACGGACAGCAGCAATATCAATGGGCCTCCTGTTATCAGATATCAGTGGTCCAGTTGCCCACTTGCCCACCATCACAAACTGATTTTCAGAAACAACATTGAAAGAGCCAATGAAACCTTTGAAAACGTTTTATGGTAGATTTGTGACATCAAAATACAACAATCTCCCAAAATGATACTTTTTACATGAAGTTCAAAGGGCATAAACACTATTAAGTTCGCCATGATATTTACAGAAATTCTGTCACTTGATGAGATATAAGGATTATCAGTCAATGAGTGAGTATGGGTTTACGGCGCTTTCAGCAATATTCCAGCAATATCACGGCGGGGGACATCAGACAGGGGCTTCACACACTGTACCCATGTCGGGAATCGAACCTGGGACTTCGGCGTGACGAGCGAACACTTTAACCACTTGGCTACCAGACCGCCCTATCAGTCAATGAAATCACGTGTAACAAGTGTGTAACTTAATAAGACCAGTGCTTATAAAATGTGGCTGATATTGAAGGCAGAAAACTAATTCAAACCAATTAAAGATTGTTTAAAATAGCGGAAGTTGCCTGAACTAAATGTGCTTCAAGACACATGTTTGTTATTGTATTTCAGTGTGTTGTATGTGTGTGCGTAACGATACAGGATTAATATATGAATTGATACACAATTAATATATATGAATCTATAGAGTTAAGTGTGTATTGCCAAAGGCCCGGGTTTGATTCCCCACATAGGTACAATGTGTGAAGGCCATTTCTGGTGTTCCCTGCCAGGATATTGCTAAGTGTTGAAAAACACTCACTCACTCTGAAAGTATTATCAATGCACCGATTCACTGGTAAATTGTGACATCCCTACACCTCCAAATTTGATGCATCAGTGAAATAAATGATGTCCAATGTAATTCCCTATTTAGATGATTAATTGACTTGCCATTGCATGTGTGACACCTTTGGGACAGAATACTATTTGATAGTGGTTCATAAACACATGCTGTTGGAATTGTGCAATCGACTGCTTTTACCAGAGATTTCTTGTAAAAATAAAAAAGAGTTTTGTCATATTTATTGTTATTTCTATCCTTGCAAGTGAGATAGCGTGAGTGAGTGAACAGGTCCTGGAAATAAAGCGTGGCCTTTGTTCTGCTTCAGTGCAGTCAATAAACATACCTTGTTCTCTTGCATTTCGTATGCTAGCCAGGTCATACCCACGACCTTGACCTTTGCACATCTTACGAGCCTGTGCCCAGTTGAGCTGGTTCCCCTGAGCTGTGTTGACATGGAAGCACCTGTTGCCGAAGTTTTTGAACCCAGGTGGGCAGTTACCGGGCATGGTGGGGGATGGTGTGGTGGTGGGTGGGGATGGGTTCGTATTGAACTTGCACACGTAGCCCTGTACTATGGAACAGTGATCATCATTCCACTTTCCTGGTGGAACAAACAAGGCATGCACATGAATGGTGAAACTGCATTCTATCTGTCTGATATTATTCACTGAAGATTCAAGGGGATCTGTATTGTCTTCTTTAATGAGTACATGCACTATGTATTACAACATGATCATCTTTTTCAGATTAATAAACAGCTGTCATATTGTGAGCATGATCATCATTATGTGTAAGGGTAACATCATCTCTTCTATTTTACAAAGTCCATTCTATCGTCATCATCATCACAGTCATTCTATGAACATCATCGTACCACTGCACAAGGTCGTCATCATCATCATCATCATCATCATCATCACAGTCATTCTATGAACATCATCGTACCACTGCACAAGGTCGTCATCATCATCATCATCATTATCATCATCATCATCATCACAGTCATTCTATGAACATCATCGTACCACTGCACAAGGTCATCATCATCATTATTATCATCATCATCATCATCACAGTCATTCTATGAACATCATCGTACCACTGCACAAGGTCATCATCATCATCATCATTATCATCATCATCATCATCATCATCACAGTCATTCTATGAACATCATCGTACCACTGCACAAGGTCGTCATCATCATCATTATCATCATCATCATCATCATCACAGTCATTCTATGAACATCATCGTACCACTGCACAAGGTCATCATCATCATCATCATCATTATCATCATCATCATCATCATCACAGTCATTCTATGAACATCATCGTACCACTGCACAAGGTCGTCATCATCATCATCGTCATCATCATCACAGTCATTCTATGAACATCATCGTACCACTGCACAAGGTCGTCATCATCATCATCATCATTATCATCATCATCATCATCATCACAGTCATTCTATGAACATCATCGTACCACTGCACAAGGTCATCATCATCATCATCATCATCATCATCATCACAGTCATTCTATGAACATCATCGTACCACTGCACAAGGTCGTCATCATCATCATTATCATCATCATCACAGTCATTCTATGAACATCATCATACCACTGCACAAGGTCGTCATCATCATCATCATCATCATCATCACAGTCATTCTATGAACATCGTCTTCCCAGTGGACGAGGTCATTATCATCATCATCATCATCACCACAACCACAACCAGTGGACCAGTTGTATAGAAAGCCACAATCTGTTATACAGAGTTACATCCCCTAAGCGTGACAGAAGCCAGTGATCAGGGGTTTGCCCTGATTATGATTCTAGGTTTGTCAACACCATACTCATGCTTGTGGGTTTCACCTAAATGGTTAACATCTAAGACCTGTATCACTACGGGGTTTCCGCCACCATCAAGCTGACATGCTGTGATCTAATACTGTTCATGAAACCCAGCCAATTCATCACACAGTATCATTCTATCACAAGATCTCACCATTCGACACTGTCATGTCGCCACAGGCCTCTGCTCCACCGAAGTCATTAGGCTCGTTTTTGTTCCAGTTCATGAATTTAACATCAGGTGTCCCATCACTCCATCTAGGTCAGAAAAGGTACTTTAAATAATTTACAAAAATAGTGAAGAGAATACAAATTTTCTTAAAAGTATTCAATGGACACATCAGATTAAAGGGCATAAGCTTTGATATCCCATGTGCAGAATATTTGAAGCCTATTGCCTGTCCCCATCCCACCCCTTATGTATGAAAAGGCTTGGAGGCTAAAAGTGGCATAAACCTGACTGACTCACTCACTGAAGCCTTTGAAAATACTTATATCCCATGTCCCAGTCTAGTTGCTGAAGTCTTGTGACAATACCTGCACCCCATGTCCCAGTCTAGTTACTGAAGTCTTGTGACAATATCTGTATCCCATGTCCCAGTCTAGTTACTGAAGTCTTGTGACAATACCTGCATCCCATGTCCCAGTCTAGTTACTGAAGTCTTGTGACAATACCTGCATCCCATGTCCCAGTCTAGTTACTGAAGTCTTGTGACAATACCTGTATCCCATGTCCCAGTCTAGTTACTGAAGTCTTGTGACAATACCTGCACCCCATGTCCCAGTCTAGTTACTGAAGTCTTGTGACAATACCTGTATCCCATGTCCCAGTCTAGTTACTGAAGTCTTGTGACAATACCTGCATCCCATGTCCCAGTCTAGTTATTGAAGTCTTGTGACAATATCTGTATCCCATGTCCCAGTCTAGTTACTGAAATCTTGTGACAATACCTGCATCCCATGTCCCAGTCTAGTTACTGAAGTCTTGTGACAATACCTGCATCCCATGTCCCAGTCTAGTTACTGAAGTCTTGTGACAATACCTGTATCCCATGTCCCAGTCTAGTTCACTGAGGCCAATCCATACGTGGACGTCACTCACATTGGAAACCTGAATGACAGCAATAGGATGAGGTTCTTAAGCGAGTAACAATTAAGGATTTATGAAATGAACGGTATTTTCAGAAATGTTATATTCATTTTACAGATGTGCACACATGAACAGAATTTGACTTCTTTTCAACATTTCTGAGTTAGATGTTGGACCTGGACCTGGACATGGACCTACCAATGCAGAGGTAAGGTTAAATAAATAGGTCCTAAGAGGCTGACAAAGGGGTGTTTTTCTTATAACTCAACAAGTTTTGTAACCACATAAGGTGTTTTAGGACACTGGGAAAATCTTAGAATTCATCTTGCTCTTCATTTTCTCCTTTTCAGTTCGAAAAGTTGGTTCTTTCACTTGCGTCAGCCATATTCTGAACTTGATCAAGTGATAAGTCTAGAACTTACAAGTAACAGAAATGAAATAGACCAGGTGTCAGTCATATGAACATGTCAAATAACTTTGGTACTGCCTTACAATATGACCACATTATTGGACCATGCAGAATGTTATGATTAAACTAAATTTGGAACTAAAATAACAAGTTTTATGTTTTCTTTAGTCAGGAAATGTGTAACAGATGTTGAGCTTAAGATACTGAATAATTTCAACATAAAAGACAGGGGCCCTATGAAAAACCTGAGTTAGAATTGGTCTTCAGCCACCCATGCTTGTCCCCATGAAGATCAGTGATGATTGCTGAATATTGAATCAAACATGTACTGAAATATTTATATTCAAATATATGTACCAGTAAGTGCTTGTGAAGAGACATCCACCTAACTGTGATCTATTCTTACCAAATTCTGCACGAACAGTTGTTCATTGATGTTCCCAATAGACACAAGATGAGCATTAAACTGAGCACACATAGTCCGTGCTTGTCGCCATGTCTTCCCATCGTCCCCTTGACCATCCTGAGCCATGTAGCAGTAGCCATTGTATAACAACCAGTTTGGTAGATGCGGACAAGCACCTCCTACAACAGTAGCCATTGTATAACAGCCAGTTTGGTAGATGTGGACAAGCCCCTCCTACAACAGTAGCCATTGTATAACAACCAGTCTGGTAGATGTGGACAAGCCCCTCCTACAACAGTAGCCATTGTATAACAGCCAGTTTGGTAGATGTGGACAAGCCCCTCCTACAACAGTAGCCATTGTATAACAGCCAGTTTGGTAGATGTGGACAAGCCCCTCCTACAACAGTAGCCATTGTATAACAGCCAGTTTGGTAGATGTGGACAAGCCCCTCCTACAACAGTAGCCATTGTATAACAGCCAGTTTGGTAGATGTGGACAAGCCCCTCCTACAACAGTAGCCATTGTATAACAGCCAGTTTGGTAGATGTGGACAAGCACCTCCTACAACAGTAGCCATTGTATAACAGCCAGTTTGGTAGATGTGGACAAGCACCTCCTACAACAGTAGCCATTGTATAACAACTAGTTTGGTAGATGTGGACAAGCACCTCCTACAACAGTAGCCATTGTATATGTACAACCAGACCAGCATTTTGTCACTCAGTAATTGTTAACAGATCTATTCTGCCATATTCTGCATTCTTCTTGTGACTGGTTTGCCCAGAGAGTGGATGGTCGATGGTTTGATTCCCAGGCGCACCGTACCAAAAGTCATTAAAAGATGGTCCTTGTTGTTAGCCTGCCTGGTGCACTGGATAAAGTGGATAAAACAAGGAGTCGGCTCGGAGTCAGTATACTGGGTCTGAGTAGGGTATTCATGTTAAACTGCGGCATGATATCTCGGTGGGTTAGCACTATAAATAAGCATCAGTCCGGACTAGTATAAGCAGCCACACATACAGACACATGTGCATGCAGTTCTCTATATAATCTTGGACGTGACGTTAAACCCTATTTAACCTAACCTCACCCCCACAGCTATATAAGTGCCATAAGTTTGTACAGGACTCATTTCATCTCACTAACACTTAGGTTTCAGATGTGAACATATATATTGTTCCTGGTTTAATATACAGGCTGATATAGGAATACATAGCCTGACACATGCAAAGAATTCATCATGAGGCTCTATTTGGAGACATATATGTGTGTGACAATTAGAGCCATACTGTGTGTGGAAGGGGCAGTCAGGTAGCCCAGTGGTTAAAGCGTTCGCTCGTCGCGCCGAAGACCCGGATTCGATTCCCGACATGGGTACAATGTGTGAAGCCCATTTCTTGTGTCCCCTGCCGTGATATTGCTGGATATTGCTAAAAGCGGCGAAAACCATACTCACTCACTCACTCACTCCTGTGTGTGGCATCAGACTTTCAGCATCTGAACTCGAGGTGCAGACAGGGTCACTTTTGATGTGACAACCAAGTGACAACTTGAATGGTGAGGTGAAATTGGGTTTAACGTCGTGTCCAAGATTATTGCACTTATATAGCGACGTGCATGCATATGTGTGTGTGCGTGTGTGTGAGTGTGTGTTAGGCTGCTTGTACTAGTCCGGACTGATGCCGATTTAAAGTGCTAGTCCACTGAGATACCATGCCGCAGTTTAACATAAATACCCCACTCAGACACAGTATAATGACTCCGAGCCGACCAGTCCTTGTTTTAGCCCCTTAATGCCGAGCACCAGGCAAGGTAACAACAAGTACAATCTTTTAATGTCATTTGGTATGATGCGGCTGGGGATCGAACCCCTGACCTTCAACTCTCCAGGCTGACGCCCTACAACTAGATGACAGAGGCGGTTGACAACAAGAAACTCACTGGCCAATCACATATCTACATTAAAAAACAAGTAATAAAAAATCAAGTTTACATCCTACAGCATCATAATGAGAAAGATGGCAATCGAAAACTGTTGTACTGCCAGAATAAGGAACCCTCACCATACTTCGCTGATGCTCAAAAGTTTTAAGATAATTACCGTATTTTCTTGAGTATAGTGCGCACCCATGTATAATGCGCACCCCCCTCTAGCGGGTTCAATATTTTTTAAAAAAAGAAATTTGAATATTATGCGCAGAAAATTTTTACACCGTACCCTTTCAGCGAAGTCCGGCAAACGAACGGGTGCTGGGAAACTTCATCAGTACAAATTCGAAATTTGAGATAAAAAATCACCAGACATGTTTATTTACCGTTTAAATAGTATTTATTGTTCAGCTAGGCATTGTTTTATATTTAGGGATTAAGATTACCTTGCGTATTTTCTCGTAAACTAAGCTGGAAACAGCAATCAGCTGTACACACGTTTTCTTGGAATCGACCGGTGATTCGGTCAAGACACACCCAATGATATAACTTTATAAGATTTTTAATGCAAGGATCGGCGACAATTGTATCTGAAACTATTTTATTTATCAGGAATAATATAATCCATTATTTTCTTAATTATACTGGAATATACTGGTACTGGAATATCTATTGTTTGTATATTACCTGATGTGGGTACCGGCAATGTGGTTCTAGGTACTGGCATCAAACCTGTAAATAGCAAGTTTGGCAACATCTAAAGCTTGGAGAACATTTTCAGGGAGATTCATAAAATGTCATTAGTGCATTGTGATTGCTTTACACTTCACCAATTTGGAGCCCAGGGGCCTGTTCAACAAAGCCATTTTAGCACTACGACTATCGTAAACCTTTGCTTAAGTATTGGGGTTACGATCATCTTAGCGCTAAGATCACATTGTGGAGTCGTGTCCTGGTGTCTGCATTAATCGCAAGGCACATGCTGTTTGAGCAGCACTGTTGGACGAAGATTGGGAGGATGCTGTTGGGAAATACTTCACTCTGCATGACCCACACGACAAACACACACTGATAAGAGCCTTTTGCAGGGCTCTAAATACAAGCTGCAATGTGGCCAGTACATTGAAAACAAGAAAGAAGTGAGCAAAGCTCACATACCCCCGTTATCCCTGCTGGTCAACAACAAATAGTAAATAGTTTGTTAATTAATTAAATATACCTGTTGCTTTAAGTCAGAGGAACTGCCCTTTCCTTTGTAACCCCATGAGGATGCATTATGTTTGAAATGAACACATGTTTTTGCAAATATATTTCAATCTAGTGTGGGATAATCAATGCTTAGCACAACATACATTCTTGGAATCCTTTGATACTTAAAATTAACTACAAAGCATGACGCATACTTATTATACATTAAATGAAAAAGAGCAAAAGAGAAAACTTTCAGAATCTTATAAAAGATAAAAAACAATCATAGTGGTTAATGTAGCAAGTTTGCTGAAGCTAGGATACATAATATTGTAAACATGGATCGTACAAAAACTCTACCCAAAATTTATGTTTCACCATGATTCCATGGAAACGGCAAAAATAAAAAATTCACAATCTTCAAACTAGCAAAAGGCACAAGTACTCATTGTGGTTAATGTGTGTAGCAAGCTTGATGAAGCTAGGATGCATAGTTAAAAAGATATGGGCTGTACAAAACACCCACCCTTAAAGTTGAAGTTTCTTAATGTGTCCATGGAAACGGCAAACATTAAAAAATTCAGAATATTCAAACTAGCAAAAGGCACAAGTACTCATTGTGGTAAATGAGTGTAGCACGTTTGGTGAAGCTAGGGTGCGTGGTTAAAAAGATATGGGCCATACAAAACACCAACCCTAAAAGTTTAAGTTCTAAAGTTTCCATGGAAATGGCAAAAATAAAAAAGTTATGGGCCGTACAAAAGCTTGGATGGAAGGACGGACAGACGGAAGGACGGACAGACGGAACGCTAATAAATTGTAAGATTGGTGGATCCATTGTCTTACCTTTCTTGATGCCACAGATCCAGTTCCTGAGATGCCAGCAGGCCTGCACGTTGAACTTGCCAGTCTGTATGATCACCTCAACACACTGGGCATTCCCACCCTGTGTGTCGGGCTCCTTGCTGTCCCACGGAGTGAAGTCAACTGGGCTCCTGTCAGCCCACGCATAGCCTGACACAGAAACACATGGCTGACACAGAAACACATGGCTGACACAGAAACACATGGCTGACACAGAAACACATGGCTGACACAGAAACACATGGCTGACACAGAAACACATGGCTGACACAGAAACACATGGCTGACACAGAAACACATGGCTGGCACAGAAACACATGGCTGACACAGAAACACATGGCTGACACAGAAACACATGGCTGACACAGAAACACATGGCTGACACAGAAACACATAGCCTGACACAGAAACACATGGCTGACACAGAAACACATGGCTGACACAGAAACACACATGGCTGACACAGAAACACATGGCTGGCACAGAAACACATGGCTGACACAGAAACACATGACTGACACAGAAATACATGGCTGACACAGAAACACATGGCTGGCACAGAAACACATGGCTGACACAGAAACACATGGCTGGCACAGAAACACATGGCTGACACAGAAACACATGGCTGGCACAGAAACACATAGCCTGACACAGAAACACATGGCTGACACAGAAACACATGGCTGGCACAGAAACACATGGCTGACACAGAAACACATGGCTGGCACAGAAACACATAGCCTGACACAGAAACACATGGCTGACACAGAAACACATGGCTGACACAGAAACACATGGCTGACACAGAAACACAAGTCATGGCTGACTCAAAAACACATGGCTGACACAGAAACACATGGCTGGCACAGAAACACATGGCTGACACAGAAAAACATGGCTGACACAGAAACACATGGCTGGCACAGAAACACATGGCTGACACAGAAACACATGGCTGACACAGAAACACATGGCTGACACAGAAACACATGGCTGACACAGAAACACATGGCTGACACAGAAACACAAGTCATGGCTGACTCAAAAACACATGGCTGACACAGAAACACATGGCTGACACAGAAACACATGGCTGACACAGAAACACATGGCTGACACAGAAACACATGGCTGACACAGAAACACATGGCTGACACAGAAACACATGGCTGACACAGAAACACATGGCTGACACAGAAACACATGGCTGGCACAGAAACACATGGCTGACACAGAAACACATGGCTGACACAGAAACACATGGCTGACACAGAAACACATGGCTGACACAGAAACACATGGCTGACACAGAAATACATGGCTGACACAGAAACACATGGCTGACACAGAAACACATGGCTGACACACAAACACAAGTCATGGCTGACACAGAAACACATGGCTGACACAGAAACACATGGCTGACACAGAAACACATGGCTGACACAGAAACACATGGCTGACACAGAAACACATGGCTGACACAGAAACACATGGCTGACACAGAAATACATGGCTGACACAGAAACACATGGCTGACACAGAAACACATGGCTGACACAGAAACACATGGCTGACACAGAAACACATGGCTGACACAGAAACACATGGCTGACACAGAAACACATGGCTGACACAGAAACACAAGTCATGGCTGACACAGAAACTCATAGGCTGACACAGAAACACAAGTCATGGCTGACACAGAAACACATGGCTGACACAGAAACACAAGTCATGGCTGACTCAAAAACACATGGCTGACACAGAAACACATGGCTGACACAGAAATACATGGCTGACACAGAAACACAAGTCATGGCTGACACAGAAACTCATAGGCTGACACAAAAACACATGGTTGACACAGAAACACATGGCTGACACAGAAACACATGGCTGACACAGAAACACAAGTCATGGCTGACACAAAAACTCATAGGCTGACACAGAAACACATGGCTGACACAGAAACACATGGCTGACACAGAAACACATAACCTGACAGAAACACATGGCTGACACAGAAACACATGGCTGACACAGAAACACATGGCTGACACAGAAACACATGGCTGACATAGACACACATTGCCTGACACAGAAACACATGGCTGGCACAGAAATACATGACTGACACAGAAATACATGGCTGGCACAGAAACACATGGCTGACACAGACATACATGGCTGACACAGAAACACATGGCTGACACAGAAACACATGGCTGACACAGAAACACATGGCTGACATAGACACACATGGCTGACACAGAAATACATGGCTGACATAGACATACATGGACAGACATGGCTGACACAGAAACACATGTCTGACACAGACACACATGGACCCACATGGCTGACACAGAAACACATGGCTGACACAGAAACACATGGCTGACACAGAAACACATGGCTGACACAGAAACACATAGCCTGACACAGACACACATGTCTGACACAGACACACATGGACCCACATGGCTGACACAGAAACACATGGCTGACACAGAAACACATGGCTGACACAGAAACACATGGCTGACACAGACACACATGGCTGACACAGAAACACATGGCTGACACAGAAACACATGGCTGACACAGAAACACATGGCTGACACAGAAACACATAGCCTGACACAGACACACATGTCTGACACAGACACACATGGACCCACATGGCTGACACAGAAACACATGGCTGACACAGAAACACATGGCTGACACAGAAACACATGGCTGACACAGACACACATGACTGACACAGAAACACATAGCTGACACAGACACACATGGCTGACACAGAAACACATGGACCCACATGGCTGACACAGAAACACATGGCTGACACAGAAACACATGGCTGACACAGAAACACATAGCCTGACACAGACACACATGTCTGACACAGACACACATGGACCCACATGGCTGACACAGAAACACATGGCTGACACAGAAACACATGGCTGACACAGAAACACATGGCTGACACAGACACACATGGCTGACACAGAAACACATGGCTGACACAGAAACACATGGCTGACACAGAAACACATGGCTGACACAGAAACACATAGCCTGACACAGACACACATGTCTGACACAGACACTCATGGACCCACATGGCTGACACAGAAACACATGGCTGACACAGACACACATGGCTGACATAAACACACATGGCTGACACAGAAATACATGGCTGACACAGAAACACATGGCTGACACAGAAACACATGGCTGACATAGACATACATGGACACACATGGCTGACACAGAAACACATAGCCTGACACAGACACACATGGCTGACACAGAAACTCATGGCTGACACAGAAACACATGGCTGACACAGAAACACATGGCTGACACAGAAACACATGGCTGACACAGAAATACATGGCTGACATAGACACACATGGACCCACATGGCTGACACAGAAACACATGGCTGACACAGACACACATGGCTGACACAGAAACACATGGCTGACACAGACACACATGGCTGACATAAACACACATGGCTGACACAGAAATACATGGCTGACACAGAAACACATGGCTGACACAGAAACACATGGCTGACATAGAAACACATGGCTGACACAGACACACATGGCTGACACAGAAACACATGGCTGACACAGAAACACATGGCTGACACAGAAACACATGGCTGACACAGACACACATGGCTGACACAGAAACACATGGCTGACACAGAAACACATGGCTGACACAGAAACACATAGCTGACACAGACACACATGGCTGGCACAGAAACACATGGCTGACACAGAAATACATGGCTGACACAGAAACACATGGCTGACACAGAAACACATGGCTGACAAAGACATACATGGACACACATGGCTGACACAGAAACACATGTCTGACACAGACACACATGGACCCACATGGCTGACACAGAAATACATGGCTAACACAGAAATACATGGCTGACACAGAAACACATGGCTGACACACAAACACATGGCTGACATAGACATACATGGACACACATGGCTGACACAGAAACACATGTCTGACACAGAAACACATGGACACACATGGCTGACACAGAAATACAAGGCAAACACAGAAATACATGGCTGACACAGAAACACATGGCTGACACAGAAACACATGGCTGACATAGACATACATGGACACACATGGCTGACACAGAAACACATGTCTGACACAGACACACATGGACACACATGGCTGACACAGAAATACATGGCTAACACAGAAATACATGGCTGACACAGAAACACATGGCTGACACAGAAACACATGGCTGACACAGACACACATGGACACACATAGCTGACACAGACACACATGGCCTGACACTGACACACATGGCTGACACAGACACACATGGACACACATGGCTGACACAGACACACATGGACACACATGGCTGACACAGACACACATGGCCTGACACTGACCTGACATAGACACACACAATCTGACATGAGACACACTACTTTCCAAGATAATCCAACAACCAACTGTCTCCTGGTGCCAGTTACATGTAAACAAATAATTCTTGCTGACATTGTGCTCTTAAAAGTTTGAGAAGATGATTAAGCATTTTATTGTCAACAAAGTAAAACCATCGGGCTAATAAAAAAATACATATTAAACCCCTCTTTTTTTGGAGGAAAGAAGTTGCAATTGAACAGTAAATTCATGGTGCAAGTATGACAAAATATTGTGCTAGAGAGTTCAAAACTTTGAGTGAGTGAGTAAGTTGGGTTTAACGCCGCTTTTAACAGTCTTCCAGTTATATCGCGGTGTGTCAGCTTAATGTGGGAAGAAAGCCGGAAGTGATGCAGGTCTCAGATGTTTACCTCTTCAGTGAAACCCATGAACACAAGTATGGTGATGACAAACCTAGAAACATAATCAGGGCAAAGGATTCGAACCCACAATCATAGGTTTCTGGCGTGCCTAAGGGATGCGACGACTGGGCCACCTGTCCCCCCTTCAAAACTTTGATGTCAGATAAAAAACATTATATCTTAATATAGTGAAATAACCTGTCTCAGTTGAATGCCCAAAACTATCCATCAGAAACATGTACGATGAACCAGTCGGACTCACAATGCATATGG